GTTCTTCTTGCTGCACAGATGGGAGGACCCATCTGGGGATTTCTTTTTTTTTTTCTTTTTAATCATGTCGACCTAGTCCCTAACTTCCTCCTCTGTGGAGGGAGCATCGCGTTCCTTTTGTGGTTCTTTCAATTTTACAAAAAAAAAAAAAAAAAAAAAAAAGATGAAGTGGAAGTGGAGATGGAAGCGAAAGTGGGAAGTAGCTCCAAGGTGGGCATGCATATAGAAGTATATGCTCATATGAGGGGACACTTCCACCCCACCCCGCGCAGTGGGGTTCACTCCTGAGTCGAAGCTAGCGCGGGGGTACCGCTTGTGGTACTGCTACTTCTGCTGGCACTACTTCTTCGCTACGGGTTGGCCAGGACTAATCTTTTCGTAAAAGTGCTTGAAGAGCGAGTTGCACTTCTTGTCGTCATTGTGCAGGTGCATGCAGTAAAACAAATTAGCATAGTGGTCATAGAAAAGTTTGGCAAACCTAACGTTGTCGTTGTTATTCGTTGTGCAGTACTTGTACCCTATGACTTTGAACGATTCAGTTAAGACGTCTTTGCATTTTTTGTCTCCTTGGTTGAGTAACAGGTCCACGTCGTATTTGGCATCGTCAGAGATAGTGCTTCCTAGACACATAAAGCGCTTTATTTCGTAGAAGGAATCATTTTGTTTCTGTGTGTGGTACTTTGCTTGGTTGTAGAGGGTGGGCGACTCGGGCGACTGGTGGATGACGTCGCTCAGTTTGGAGTAGTCCGTCGTTAGCGCCATGTGGGGAGGCTGAGAAGCGGTGTTGCGGAGTAGCACTGTATCGGTGAGTTGGACGATTGGACTACAGAATGTGAGGCTTCAGCAGCATCCTGCGCGGGGAATGAGACACATGGCGTGGGCATCGAGACAGGTACCGGGGGTGGCCCTCATATGTCGACACCTAAGTACGCCAGCACGTATAAATATAGACACCACTACGGATGCAGCTACAAATGTATAGATAAGTATATATATAGATACAGATATATGTATATGCATATATGGACCTATCTAACTGCGCTTCAGCACGCGTGTGTGGAGGCATACCTGCGGGTATCTACACGAGGCGAGGGGTCTCCTTGGTACTGTTCGTCGGGAAAGCCAACTGTGCGTCCGCCTCCGGGGGGGGAAATGGAAAATGACTTCTCCTGTACCTCTCGAGTGAGGGCAGCAACTGCATAGGATTTGTCGAAATAGGCTAGGCGCCGATGAAACAAAAAAAAAAGTTAAAAGGAAAGAAAAAAAAAATCGAAAAAAATACAAAGAAGTGGAAAAAAAAAAGAAAGCGTGGAAGGGAGAGAAGAAAAAAAGCTGTTTTTCCCGCAGGGACAGTCATGCGTGCGTGCCGCATCGTGTACGTCAACGCGGCGGAACCATTTCCTGCGTGGCAATGCTTCTATGGCGTGGCCTCTTACCGGAGTTGCGAAAATTTTAGCACCCCCCCCAAAAGGATTGGAAGTGTTCCTGAATTGGCCCCAAATTGTTGCCACCTGTTTTGGTTTTTTCCTGCGTTCCCTGTGTTTCCTGTTTTGCCTGATTTTCCTGTTTTTCCCGCTTTTTTTTTTATTTTTTTTTTCTTCCCCTGGGAGATATCAATTGGAAGGAGCGGATCGCCAAGAGAGCATAACGTCATTATTATAAGCGGCCGAGCTGAGGGCGCAAGGAGGAAGAAGTGAAGAAGCAGAACGAAGAGCAAGAGCGAAGCGGAAGAGGCGAACCTAACAGTTCCGACAGCAAAATCGGGAGGGGATGCATAGATAGAAGCCCCTCAGCTGAGCAGCATAGCTTCTTAGCTCACATTGAAAGATATGTGGATCGTCCCCCACGAAAATTTGCTCGGCTGACTTGCCTGGCCCCCTTGCCCGGTTGACTTGCCATCCATAGTGAGCCACCACCCAGCAATGCTTCCCCACATGAAGAGTTACCAAAAAGGGGAACACGAGGCAACCGTAAAAATAGCAAAAAGAAGCGGTGCTGTTTGTTTTCCCCGTCAATGGTCCAAACCGAGCGAACGGGGCAGATCCCACTGTAGGAAGTTTAAAAGGAACAGCCCCCAGGGAGGGAGAAGATGACCCATTAGAGAATGCCATTTTGACGTACGATCCATTTTATGCGCAGCAAGAGTGAACGTGGCGCGCCCCGGCTGAGTTAGGGTCATAGCTACAGTTATAGCTATAGCTAGAGCATAGGTCACATTTGGCTCCCCGGTGAGTAACGGAAAAGAAACGGATGAATTGCCCTCCCCGGTGAAAGATCTCGAAGCGGTTCAGGAAAGTCGCCCCAAAGGGAGAGACAACCATACAGTGGAGTAGGCAGCCAATTCGGCAGCCAACCGGGCTAATCGGCACCAGCAGCTGCTTCCCCCCTTGAGAGGCATCTCAAAATGGAGAAGGTGGAGAACTACAAAGTGTCGGAGAAGTACGAAATATGTACGAGCTTCGAGAACATCGGAATTGACGAAGGTCTGCTGAGGGGGATCTACGCCTACGGGTTTGAGAAGCCATCGGCTATCCAACAGAGGGGTATCAAACCGATTCTAAGTGGTAGAGACGTCATTCTGCAGAGTCAGAGTGGGACAGGAAAGACTTGTGTCTTTGCCGTGGGGGCGTTAAACTGTGTTAATCGCAATTTGAGCGAAACCCAGGTGATTATCCTATCGCCGACAAGAGAGCTAGCAGAGCAGACACAGAAGGTGTGTCTTGCCCTAGCCGATTACATCCACGTAACGATATACTGTTGCATCGGAGGGAAGAAAATGAGTGACGACATAAAGGCGCTAAACAACGGAGTGCATATCATTAGTGGGACACCAGGAAGGATTTACCACATGCTGAATTTGAGGCACTTAAAGTGCAAGTATATAAAACAGCTAGTTATTGACGAGGCAGACGAGATGCTAAATAAAGGATTCAAGGAGCAGGTATACGACATTTATCGTTTCCTCTCCCCCAACACGCAAATAGTACTTTCCTCAGCCACCCTTCCACAGCAGGTGTTAGAAATAACGAACAAGTTTATGCACCGACCGGTGAAAATATTAGTAAAGAGAGACGAACTGACTTTGGAAGGGATAAAACAGTTCTTTGTGTCGATAGAGAAGGAGCAGTGGAAATATGAGACGCTTGCTGATCTGTATGAAAGCTTAACCATCACGCAGGCGGTTGTTTTTTGTAATACCAAATTGAAGGTAGACTGGCTCACGAAGAAGATGCAGGAGGCGAACTTTACCGTCTGTAAGATGCACGCAGGGATGAGTCAGAGTGAGCGAGATGACATCATGCTAAAATTTCGGCAGTGTAAATTTCGTGTTCTCATATCGACTGATATTTGGGGAAGGGGTCTCGACGTGCAGGAAGTATCCCTTGTTGTTAACTACGATTTGCCTAACTCCCGGGAGAGCTACATTCACCGTATCGGGAGGAGCGGTCGATTTGGAAGGAAGGGGGTCGCCATCAACTTTGTTAAAAATGACGACATAAAGATTCTCAGGGACATCGAGCAGTACTACTCCACGCAGATTGACGAGATGCCTATGAACATCACGGAGCTGCTCTAGTGGGGGGAGCGACGGAAGGGGAAGCCTGGAAGGGTTTAATTTTGGTTGACCTAATTTGGGTCTTGCTTCATTTTGGTTGACCTATCTTTGTTTTTTTTTTTCCTTTTTTTTTTTTTTTAACCCGAATTGTCACCAACTGATTGCCACTGAGGCATTCCGTGTGTCATCAAGCCAATAGGGCGATGTAAACAATTGGGGGGGAAGAAAAAAAGAGCCCCTTTCCCTATTTCCTTTTGCAGATTTTGTGTTCCCCCCTTGGCTTCTTCAGCGGCAAACGAGTCCGCAGTTAGCCCTGCTGGTTGAGGGAAGAAGCATTTCTTCAATAAGACGAAGCATGCGGGGGAAAGGGTCAAATTGGACATGTCCTTACGTTTGGGTTGCCATGTCCTGGTGCAGCAGGCTCATCAGGCCCACCACGTCTACGCCGCTGACCTGCTCACCTGCATATGTGCTTCCACTCATGACATAGGCAAGCGACCAAGGCGGAGGGGAAATTTCCCTGGCGTTTCCTCGTTGTGTGTTCTTTTGTCAAACACACAGTCGGTGAGAGACACGGCCCTGTGGGTGACTTACAAAGGGAAGTCATTTTTGTTTCCTTTTTTTTCCTTTTTTTTTTTCTTCTTTTTTCCTTTTTTTTTCTCTCTTTTTTTCTTTTTTTTTCCTCTTCTTCTTCACATAATGGGGGAAGCCCGTGCATGGAAGGCATTTCAAAACCTGTAGGCATCGTTCCCTTCTTACGCCGCTTCGCTGTGCGCACCGTTGTTTGTTCATCTCCGTGAAAATGTTTTTTTTACCCATGCGGTGAGTTAGATTCATCACGGGTAAGAGAAGCGCGAGGAGAAGCGGTAACAGTAGCGCGGACAGAAGCGGAAACAGCAGCGCTAACGGCACTGTGTAAAATGGCGATGCCAAAGGGGGGATTCCTAACCCTTCTACTTTTCCTACTCTGCGCTGTCCATTGGGATGGGGGATTGCCCCCCCGGGAGAAGGGCTCCCCAACTAGTTGCTCGCAAATGCGTCCAAATGAGTGGGGAAGTTGCACGTGGAAGATATGGCCACACACTTCTGTCCCCCTCTCGAGTAGTAAAAGAAGAAGCAATACCAGCCCCTTCTACGCAGCGGGGAAGGTGCTATATGGGTTGAAGCAGGACAGAGACATTAGTCTGTATGGCCACTTCTGTTACAGTGGGAGTCGGCGGACAAAGGGAGAAAAGGGCGTATTCATTCTGACGAGATCGTATATCCCCAACACGAAGCTCTTAATTTTGAAGCAGACGGAGCAGGAGGTGCATGACTATATGACTGGGCAGGACGGAAAGACATGTTCAGACTTAGAGAGAAAGGCTTTGTTTGTCCACCCCTTTGATAACATCCCCCCGGGGCATTCACAAAATGCTTACTTCGTTTATGAGGAGAATATCGGTGACCTTCTCAAAGGGACCCAGCTGATTTTCGTCCTACTGGCTTGTGGACGGCACGTGAAGAATGCCTACAAAATTGAGTTTCGAAATAATACGCACTTTTTGAGGAACCATTTTTCTTGCGAGGATCACGGTGGGTCCGGATGAGAAGGAGCAGTTGGGGAGCGGTGTTGTTGCCTCTCTGTCTCTCTACCTCACAGCTTCCCCTGCCTCGCTGCCTCTGCACTTGTCCATCTCAGTCCCACATCACGACACCTTTCGCGCTCCCCTCGTAGGGCTGATCGAGATCCACCTTCTCCTGGTCGTCATCTTAGGCATCCTCTCCCTTGCGTACAGAAGAAAGCAGGAATCGTTAGGGCGAGCAAACAGTGCCCTAAAGGAAGCCCTCCACATTGGAGTGCTCCTTTTTGTCCTCTCTAATCTATTATACCTCATACATATATTTGTTTATGCATTCAACGGGACAGGGTTCACCTCACTGAAGGTGCTCAGTCAGATTGGTGAAGCGATTTACGACTGCTTCGTGGTAACCATCATTTTTTTTATTATGTGTTGCACAATCGATAGGGAGAAACGGAGGGAAGAGACGTTCCGAACTTCGCTCACCTATGGAGTGCTTAAATTTTTGTACCTTCTTGTCGAAATGCAAAACCAGGAGGAATTGAGTCTCTACGCATCGTTGGACTCAGGTTGGTGGGGGGAAGGCGTAGCAGAACCATCGTCCCGTTACCTCTTGCGAGGGGGGAAGTATGCATGCTTTCTTATTCTCCTGCCATTTCACGTCGATTTGTTTTTCACACGCCCTTTTTCAGTTATGGCCCTACCTTTTGTGGTTTACCGAGTGGTCATAGCAGGTTGGATTTGCTTCTCCAGTGTAGCGTTTTCGTCCTAATTGGGGAGGGGGTACCTCCCAGGTGATGTCTCGCCTACCCTGATCTGCCCTGACCCGATAAGTCCTAACCCTTCTCTTTCCTTTCTCTCACGTCAGGAATGATTTATGGAAACTGCAAGCGACTGCTGATGGAGAAGACCCCTGGGGAGGAGATTTTGTTCATCTTGCTTCACATGTGTTTGTTAGTTAATGGGAAGGGCAAACTCACTCAGGGGAAGTTCATCTCCTGTTGTGCGTGTCGCAGTGTATGGTTACGTATAATCCCTTGTGTCAGGGTTTCCCAGTCTTTAGAGACACCCCCATGTAGAAACTGTTCCCTTTTTTCCATTGGGCCCCTCAACACTGCAGGTACAACCTCTGGATTTTGTCCATTCCGGCGTATTACTTCCTGATGAGCAAAGCTTCGGTGTAAACACGGGAGATACGCTACTACTACTATGTGTGTGTGGCGAGGGGGCATGAGTGGGATGTATTGTGTCCCCCACTGTCCTAGCGAGAGGGGAATACCTACGTCTAGGCATAGAAGCCGCTCCGTTTGGCCCTCCCAAGGGTACGCAGCAAGGTATTCATTTTTATTTTTATTTTTTTTTTTTTCCGAAGGCATTTTACCCATCTGTATGTGCACTCCTTGAACCTTCTAATTTTGATATGTAATAGGTCGAGCGGCCGACCTATGCAGACCCGTTGCAGTCCCGCGTGCATCAGTCGGATGTTTTCATGCTCATATGATGTTATCTACGCAACTTTGCTATCTCCGTATTTTTTTTTTTTTTTTGTTTTTTTCCTGTTTCATTTTTCGTTTTCCCTTTTTCCTGCTTCAAGATTTGGTGCACGTCGTTTCGGAGAAGAAGTACGAAGCCTTCGAATCCAGGCACCCCTACTTGGATATGGAGTGACTTCTTTCGCATGAGTAGGAATGTTCTCACGAAGGTGAATTATGCGTGTTAATGGCAGAGGCAGGTGAAGGTTTCCCCCTCACCACCCCGCCAACGGCATTGTGATGGGAGGAAGCGCCTCTGATGCGGGCCACCTAGCGTGTAGCGTGGCGAGGAGAAGAATATCCCCTTTTCTGTTACTTCCCTGACACACACCCCTCTGATGCAAGGCGGTACTGGAATCGCTACAGATATGTACGGCTCGATTTTTTTTCTTCTTTTTTTTTTTGTGTTGTGCGAGTCTTTTTAAGTGTTCATTTTGTGAGGTTTGCCAGATTTGCGGCAACCGTTGTGTGGCTCTCCCCTGCGAGTGGACTCCACGCCTATAGGGAGTTTTCCACTTTTCTGAAGCTTGCCTCCTTTGAGAAGCTTGCCCCCTTCCAGCCCAGCCATCACGTTGTGCCAAGCATGCACTGGCAGGAAGGAGGCACCTTCCATCGTACCGATTCCTCTCCAGCGACTAGCAACAAATATGTATTATGTGAAAAAGTATGAACATAAGCTGCTCAGCGAGACGTTGCGATTTTTAGGGTTTACAGTAAAATGGGGAATTCACGAGAATGGGTACTGGATGACTAATCTGAATTATTCCTTTGACTATATGTTGTCCAATTTGGTGATAAAATATCTTAAGGAAAAGAGTAAGTAGAAGCGATCCGTTTCCCTTTGGAGGGGGTATTTCGCCTCTCCGTTGGAGTACTCTCCACGTAGGGGTGTTCACATGTGCCAAACCTTAACGGGAGGAGTTGGGTCCCCAGACACATGCGCAACTGTTTCCCGCCCTTGCAGAAGTCAAATCGGTTATAGACGTAGGGTGTGGGCATGGGCACTACGTGAGCGAATTAAACTTTCACAAAATAAGGGCAGTGGGCGTTGACGGGAATTTCAAGCTAGTCAATCATCTCAAAAATGGTACGTTCTTTTTGTTCAGCGTTAGTGGTCTGCGCGGTGGGGCATACACACATGGTGTTGTTTTTTTTTTTTTTTCCTGATAGAGGACATCTTTCCACTGGACGCCACGAATGAATACTTCGTAGCGGAAATACTGAACAAAGTGAACGACTCGAATAGGAAGGAGCATGCGAAGGAGAACAGATGCTTGGAGGTGAAGAAAGTCATAAAAAAGGCAGCAGAAATTGGCAGGACCGTTCTCCACTTTGACTACGTATTATGCTTGAATGTGGGGGAGTATATTCCCAAGGTAAGTTTGGACAGGGGGTGTACACATAGGCTGATGCGTCTACATGACATGTCTTATTAGCGCGCTCCGCGAATATGCGCCGCGTAGAGATAACCACACCGCCACAACACAGCCGACTCCTTCCCACGTGTAGAAAAAAGAAGAAACGTTCCTCAGAAACTTGGACAGACTAAACACCAGGGGGATTATTTTATCGTGGGACATCCCGAACACCTTCAACACGGGGACGATAAATGAAAAGAGGGAGGAAGAAATTCTTGACGTTTTTTTGAACGCTTTTAATTACACCTATGATGAAGAGAGCAGTGCATTCTTCCGGAAAAACTGCAGCAACGATGCTCTCAAAAATTGCATATACATTTTTGAGAAGCGCAGAGGGTAGCTCTCCTCCCCCAGCATGAACTCGCGGGCATTGTGTGTATTTAAATATGTCAAGAGGCGGATGCCATCTGTTACCCATTCTCTGTAATGAAGTATTTATTTTGTTTTTTTTTTTTTTTTCTCGTTATACTATTTTGCTTCGCTCCTTTTTACTTCCATCGCCCCGGTTTACGAAGCCAACTCACCATAGTGTGTAAATCAACACAGCGCCTGCGTGTACATGTTGAGTGAACCCTCGGCGATTCTTTGGCACACCCTGCGTATACTCCGCGCCCACTTTATGCATAACTGGTGTAGCACCCGTCTTGGTTCTTCCCCATGCGATCTGACAAAGCGCATCAACTCCAAGCATACAAGACCTTAACACATTTGTGAAAAGAGAAAAAAAAGAAAAAAAAGTTGGCACCTGACCTGTCCAGGTAAAGAGCCAAAAACGTTCGGAAAATTTTACACCAATATGGGAAAAAAAAACAAATACACAACAAACACACAACAGACGCACAACAAATTCACAATAAATACATAACACATATCACACAGGACATATCACAGACGCATGACTGCGTCAGACGACCGATGCGCAGTAATCTGTTTTCCCCTCATCGAAGGGGGAAAGCAGAATAGGAAGCCGTAAGGGGGGAGAAACCACGTAACACCGAACTAGGCAGAAAAAAGAATAAGAAACAAATTAAGGAAATAATCGCAGCTAACCACGGTCGCGAAAACGATAGGGAGGAAGGAATCGATACAGAGTTCAGTTTTTTCAGTGAACGGGGAGCCAAAGTGCGTTAAAGAAGGGGGAAACAGTACCATATTTGAGCCGCACACAGGAGCTAGTAGAAAAGGGGTAGGGTTAAGAATGCTAAGGAATCAGAAAAAAGGTTCATCATAGAAGAGGAATTACTCCACTTAAACGGAGGGAAAAAAAAAAAAATAAAAAAAATCAACCTTAACGGTGAAAAAAAAAAAGCAACAGCTGAGGACGCGTCAAAATACACCACATAGCAGTCACAGAGACAGTTAGTGAACAAATTAGCGGGGGAAAAATCCACAACGGGAATGAAAAAAAGTGAAAGCAAAAAAAATGTGTCAGTTCGGTAAATAACCCCAAATGTAGCAACAATAATCAAGAAGGGGCAAGCCAAGTTCAAATGAGTAGCATAAACGACTCAAAGAAAAAAAACGCTTCAAGTGAAAGGCAGAGTAGCGCTAAGAAGGGAAATGACACGAAAAGCGGCAGTAAGAAATCGTCCGGGGGGACGGGGTCATGCGAAGCGAAGGATAAGTGGAATCTCCCCGCGAGGGCTCAAGTAGTGCAAGTCGCAGCAATTCCTGCGGAGGGAGAAGCGGAAATGGCAACACGGGCGGAGGTCCAAAAGGACGCAAAGGGAAACGCAAAGGATGTGAAGGGAAACTCTAAAGCGCTGAGGACAATCGCAAAAGACGGGAAGGAAGCTCCTAAAAACAAAAAACTAGAAAGTAAAGACACAAGGCTAAACGCTAAGGACTCAAAGGAAAATGCGAAGGACGCAAAGATAAACGCGAAAAACAGGGGCACACCAAAATCTAGCACCATTCATAACGCAAAACAAAAATCATCGGGTTCCTCGCCTGGAAAGAATGCCCCTATAAAATTATCGCCCCCAAAAAAGAACGACTCAAGGGAAGTAGCAAGTGCAGAATCCACCTCCGTCACAGCATCACACTATTCTGCACATGCACACGTGAATCAAAAGGAAACGGAAAAAATTAAGTTGAATCGAGATGAAAAAAAAGTTTCGGAGAAGAGGGAAAAACACACCAACAAAACTGGACGAGAAGAAAGTTGTAAAGCAAGAAATGAGGAGCATCAGTCAAATAAGCAAAAAGGGAGCAGCATAAAAAAAAAAAAATTAAACTGCACAGTTATTAATGAAATCCAAGTGAAGAATAATATATATATCTGCAAATTTAAAAACAAGCTAAATAAAGTTCGCAAATACTTTTTCCCCATATATAAGTACGGCGAAGCTTCCATAGCACGAAACAAGGCCGTGCTACTGAAGATTCACCTGCACACATGCATATACTGCCAAAACGGGGTTCTATGCAACTTCGTTGAAAATTACACGTTGTAGTGGGGGTAGAAAAGCGGTAGAGGCGAAGTGGCGATGGCATAGTGACGATCGTGTAGTGACGATGGTATAGTGGCGATGGTGTAGTGGCGACGGCGTAGTGATGATGGTATAGTGGCGACGGCGTAGTGATGATGGTGTAGTTGCCATAATGACGTGGTTGACTTTTTTCTCCGTTTCGATGTCGCTTCATCTGCATGTCCGCACATTCCGTTAAAACGTTTTAAAAAAACAAATCACCAATGATTGGGTGACAAAAAATATACACGTTTTGTACCTCCCTGGGTGGTTAGGCGAAGGAGGATAAAAAATAAATAAATAAATAATTCACCTCCTTTTGTTCTTCCCACTTTTGCAACTTTTATGCGTCACTATAGTAGGACACACAAATATTGTCCCCATTATGTGAGTGACGAAATAGCGCAGTTATGCCAATGGGCGCCTGTGTAAGCAGTTCTTCTTTGTCCCCCTCGTTTATTCTTATTTGTCCTTATATAAAAATTTCTATGTGTATGATATTTCCGTATGAGCAGGCATTTCTCACTGTACATGTGTGTTGTGTCCGTTTACAAGAAGTAGAATCACCTGACCTGTTCATATCTTTTTTTTTTTTTTTTTTCCGCCACTTGGTTAGCCATTTCATTGGCTACCTTATTTTTTTTTCCTTTAACTGACGTGGTGATGTGAAGATTATGTCGCTACCGATTGGTACGTTCCCTTTACTCATTTGTGCTGAGCGTGTCTCCTTTGTTAATTTCACATTTTTGGAGAGAATTTATCCATTAGCAGAATTGGGCGGAGGACATTGGACTTGTTCATGTCGCATATTTCACCGTTGCACACGATTTCGTCAATTATAAAATGCGTTTTGTCAATGTTAAACATGATGTCTAGTTCGCATACATTTTCGTAGTACTTATCTAAAATTTCGATAATGTTATGGATCATTTCGAGTATGGCAAATTCGTTTACGTCTTGGTTTGTCACTCCGACGATTAGATAGAGGCTGGCATATCTGGTGGGTGTAATAGCAAGGAATGGGATGGGGAGTTAGGTGAAATGTGTGGAGGGAAGTGCGTCACCATTTTGCAAAGGCAGATTGGAGAAGTTAAGAGGCGGCGCGGTTCACTTTTGTGTGCACTTTTTTTCTTTTTCCTTGCACGTGCCGAAACGACCACGTTGGTATACACTCCACAAGTGCGGTGCATAGGTAGAGCATCAAACCTTCTATAAATAATTTTGTACTCTCTGTACTGTAGGAAGGAGCACTGATAGTCGACTCGGGACAAGCATTTCCGTATGAGTTCTCCCTCGAGGATTGTTTTCTCTTCCACGCTGAGGTTGTTGTAGTACTGGCTTAGCCTCGTTTGCCCCTGCTTGTTGACCATAAGCAGGAACTCGATCATTTTGTCGTGAGTGGTGAGTGGTGGGCGAGACGTTCCTCTTTTGAGTAGTTCGTAGGCGGTGTTGGTAAGCGGCGTAGTTAAGCAGCGCGGGTCCTTATTCGTCGCTCCTAAGCGTCACGTCTATGTGATACACTCCTGTGTGATATTCTTTCCAATCGATCTGCTCTCATACATAAGTTGTGCAGTTAAAAAAAAAAAATAAGCTAATTCCTCCCGGTGGTTAATAACGTGACACAGGGAAACTAATATGATGACTTAAATTTAAATCAGGAATGTGACACAAAGTTGGTTTGATGTAATAGCACTAAAATAAAAGGTTTTGCCTTTTTAGCATTTCTCCCTCCCCTTTTTTTTTTTTTTTTTTGGCTAAAATATGTTGCTATTTCCTCTTCCCTGCATTATTTATTTTTTTTTTTCTGTCAAAATGAAGTATTGTATACTTCGCAATCGTTCGCCGTGATGTTAGGCGATCGGTTTTTCATTTCCCCGTTTGTTCCTTTTTTCCGCCCTGTTTTGGTGCACTTTTGTCCTTCTTTTGGCCCCCTTTTGACCTTCTCCACGGTTATTCCCTCCTTCGCATGAACAACTCGCGCGACTGTGCGTACATTAAAATTTCCGAGTAATGAGGAGGAAACCCCCCAAGGAAAGGAACACTAAGAAGAGAGGCTACCCATCGTGCGTCCTAGTATCCTTCGAATGATGGGGAATAAACATGGGAAGCGGAAGAAGTATGAGTTATGTGAATTTCAATTTGAGAAAGGTACGCGGAGCGGGGGAGAGCAAAAGGAAAGGAAAGGCATGCGCGTGTGTATGTTTACGTCTGTCTTGGCAGCGGCTCATAGAAGTGCTGCTCATAGGACTGCTTCCCATAGCACTGTTGTCCAATTCGCCGCAGCTCACTGTCGCGCCCCCATTTGTGCACCCCCTCACAGAGTTCGAAGTCAAATTCCCCTGGAATGAAATCGTCCAGTGGGGCAGCCAAGATGTGAACGTAGACATGACCCTCGCGGCCATCGAAAAAACGATAGAAGAAATAAAAGACATAACAACAGATGAAGAGACATATTTTAACATGACCCAAGTGCAGTGCATTGATCCGTTTCACTTTGATAATGATTTGGTTATGTGGGCCACATCTCTGTTGAAGGAAAATCAGAACTTGAGGAGAATACGATACAACCTGGTTCCAAAGGTCATTAGCGAGAACGAGTTTTGGATGCGCTACTTCTCGGCGATAAAGCTCATCGTTACAAAAAATGCGTTTGAGGGGAAGCAGGGTGGAGCCGCCGGTACGTGAAGGGCGAAGTGCTGACGTGGGGTGGCAGACTCACATTCCCCGAGTTAGCCTCCAAATGGAGAAAGATTTACCTCCAATCGGTGTGTTCACCCCTGTGGGATAGCCAAAGAATCACCCGTAAGTAGACAGATGTGTGTCATTTGGCTCTAGTGCACATGTACATAGGAGCACACCGTGTGGTGAAAACAGGTGTGAAGCTCCTTCTCCACCCCATCCTCCCCCCGGGTGCAATGCCGTCGAAGTGGAGAAAATCGTTTGAGAGGACTAGTACGATGTTCTCGAGGGAGACTCGATATGACCACAAAATGAGCGTCACTTGTGTTAGTGTCCAATACAGAATGTCTGTATCTACCTACATCGTGGCAGGGGCACCTAAGGAGCTCCTCTCCCTGGGAAGAGTCTGTGTGTAAAGAGGTAGACCAAGCGAAATGGGGACCCCCTGGTGTCTTATAGTATGCTAGCGAAATGAGTAAACCCCCGTTTGCGTCTGTGCAGGGAGGTATGTGCATCGCTGAGATTTGCAGAGATTTTCTCTGCAGGGGGGGACGTGCTAAACGAGTGACGGGATTGAGACTCCCCCACCCCATCACCTGGAGGGAAGGAAGCCAGGAGAGTGTGTTTTTTTTTTTTTATTTATTTTTTTTTTTTTTTATTTTATTTTTTTTTCGTGTTAAGAAGGTTTAAATGGTTCGGTTGGTAGAGTTTAGGATCAGGGATATTTAAAGCGTTTTTCGACATGATTTGGTTGGTTACATGTCTATATGCATGTTTTGTGTTTTTTTCGTTTTTTCGTTTTTTTTTTTTTTTGCCTGGTTTCGCTTAAAATCAAAGACTAAAAAAGTATGAAATGAAGCTTTAAAGACAGGAGGGAAAGAAGAGGCGCTGCGCGGATTGTTCGGGGAGCGTACAGGTGACGAGTTCCGTCGCTGCAGGGCAGGCTGCTGTTTGCCCATTCGAGGTTGGTACTACTTCTTCGTCTCCAGCGAGTGAATCGTCTTTAACAAGTCCTCCATCTGGTGTTCTGCATTTTCGAGGAGATTCTTCTTGGAGGAAAGTTCAGTGACCACCTCGTTTAGCTCGTGCAATTCCTGTTTTTTCTCTTCTAGTTTCCCTTGCGTGGTGTCATCATCATCGTGGTGTTTTTTTCTTCCTCTTCTTGTACCTTTGTTTTTCACCGACTTTCCAGCCTCCGTGTCGTGTTCGTCTAGGTCATCCGTATGCGCGCCTTGTCCTCTTGTTTTGTTCGCTCCTCTTAGTGAGCTCCTTTCTTCTCTTCTGTTTGTCTTTTTTCTTTGCGATTTCTTGTTTCTTCTCAACGAGTATTCGTCGGCAGAGCCATCCTCGTCATTCTCGTCCTCCGATATGTCAGTAACACTGGATGTGTTATGGCCGCCTCTCTTTCCCCTTCTCTTCCTGTTATGTCTTTCCTCGATTATGTCTTCATCTTCCCCCCCCTCGTCATCCATTTCTCGGTTCATCCTCTTTTGTCGTTTTTTCATTTTTTTGTCCCTCTTTCGGTTTCTTTCTTTGTTTTTTCGTTTGTTTCGTTTTTTGTTTCTCCGTTTGTTCTTTCCTTTGTTCTTTCGTCTGTTTTTTTTTTTTTTCTTTTTCTTTTTTTGCTTCTTTTTTTTTTTCTTCTTTTTTTTCTTCTTCTTTTTGTTTTTCTTGTGTTTAGCTTTATTTTTTTTTTTCCTCCCTAGGGTCAACGAAAAAAGTGATCGTGCGTTTCTTTGAGAAAGACTTCCTTCCGCTTGTTTTTGTGTTTCCCCCCCCTGGGGGAGGGACAAATGCTTTGGTAGGAAAGAAGTCTCTACTGCTTCGTCCCCTGCATGAAACTTTTCCCGTTGAAAGTCTTCTGAATCTGCTAAATATGTCCATTCCAGTGTTGAGACCTTCCGGGGTGGGGTGTTCCCCTGAGTTGTTAAACGGGGCACTGCATATGGCTCGGTTTTCTCATCTGACGAACATATCAAGGTGGTGCAACTCCCCTTCTTCGCTTTCCTCCCCTCTACTGTTCCATCCGTTAGGACTGAATGTCCATATTTGTGAAAATGTTGTCCCAGTTTGTAATGACGACTCTTTATGTCCCCACCGCGGTGCGAAGTGGTGATTCTATTGATCACACTGAGTAGATTTAGAAGGACAAACAGATTGAATAGGCTCAGTAGGGTCCCGAGGGAGAAGTTGGAACCGAGGCTAAGGATGCTAATATGGCTCGCGAGATTTATGGTGCTGAGCTGTTGAGCCAAGTTAATCAGAGAAAATTGACTAGTCTGGGCAGGGACACCAACCAGAGTGAGTAAAAACACAGCAAGGTGCCTTCTCCTGATCAGACTGGATACACAATTGCACCCCCGCCGTACAGCAACCATTTTTAATGATTAAAAAATTATTTTATTCTACTATTTTCGATTCTTTTAAATGGTATAAATGTACACATAAATGTGTAAATGAGTGTTACTCTTTTTTTTCTTTCTTTTTTCTCCTTTTCCATCTTCCTCTTCTTCATTTTGTTCATTTTCCTCTCTACTGAAGGAGGAAGTCTGTAGCATCAAAAAATTTCAGCATGAAAAAATTGCACCATCTTTGTCTACCGGCAATGACATGTGCGAAGTGTTCAGGGGGGGAAATTACGCTGAAAATTTTCGTGAAAATTTTAAAAAAAAGGAAAATACACCAACGAGAGGATGCCCACTGTCGCTGTGTTCACGCGCGCCATTAATGTTTCGTTTGTATGTTTGTCTGTACATTTGTTTTACTCTATTTTTCGCTATTTTGCGATTTTTTTTTTTTTTTTTTTTTTGTCCATTCGACCATCTGGTTAGCTATTTGCGACGCAATTTTTTACCACCACCGCAGCGTTCGTATCGCCCCCATATTATTGTCACTATCGCCATTTGGAAGTTTAACCGACTTTGTTTCTTTTTATTCCCAAACGGGGAGTCATTTGGGGGGTGCTTTCCTCCGCGCAGCGTTGTGCGACGCGCACAGACAGATTTTTCCTGTTTTTTTTTCTCCCAGAACAGATCGCAATCGTTCTGCGCCGTTGAATGGGCGACGCGAAGGGGTAACCAGACGCGAATGAGTACGTACACGGGTGTATACATGCGAATGGTCATTTGACTGCTCATGCGACTGCTCATGCAACTGCTCATGGAGCTGCTAATGCGTGTATTTAATTTCCTTTTCTGAGGATGCAAAATGGTAAAACACACATACGAATGTGAGTCCGTGTATATGCACAATTGTGGGATTAATAAAGGAGAAACCACAAGGGGAAGGAAACGGATTTGCAAAAAATAATAATTACAGACACTTTTCATTATGTGTATATTATACATCGAAAAAATGGGAGCCAAATGTTTTCTTGGCTTCCTGATGTTATATCCGTGGGAGCACTTAAAGAAGGGAAGCTGTCAAAGGAGACACACGTTTTATATCCCTGGGGAGGGATGGGATTTACTAATGCGTCGTGGAGAGAAGGGCATATTTAAGGGAGGAAGGGATGCGACAAATTTGTTAATTAACTGTGTCTCAGTTGTGCGGCGTGTCTGCTAGTTTGTTCTTCGTGTGACAACTACAGACGAGCAGCTTCTGCGAGGAAGCGGGATATTTACTACATTTCTTAATATTTAAGAGATGCGTAACCATAAGAAAAAATTCCAATTTGCCGTTGAGAGAAGTACAAAATGTAGGGGCATTTCGTGAAAGGCATACTTCTTCCTTCCCTTGCGGGTACCATCGATACTTTTGTTGCACTCAAATGGGGAAAATAAAATGTCCGATGAGGCCCCCAATGATGTCCTTCTTGCGAAGTCAAGCAAAGCTTTAGCTTGGTAAAAGAAAAAAACAAAAAATACCTTTCCTGTTCATAGTAAATGCTGAACTTTCTGCCATTTTTGCATCAACGGTTCATACGAAAAAGGGGACTTTTGGAAGGGTCATTTCGTGGAGGTGAATCTATCCTCTGGAGGGAAATACCTCATTATGGAAGGAGCCCGCTGTGTGCAGTCGCCGCTGTTGCGTTAGGAGTGGAAAATTCACCTCATTGTTGTTGTCACGATGTTGGCAACGTGTTCGATTGAACATGCATATGTGTGTGGGGGCCATTGGTGATCTGGTGACGTGTAATCTTTTTTTTTTTCTTCTTCTTCTCCTCTGTTCCACTATTTTCTTCCCCCCTAACCGGTTACATTTTTAGCAGACTTAAAATGAAGGAAGAGGATGAGGTAAACAGAATGGTTACGTGAAATGGTCCCACTTGTGCAGCTATGTTGTGTTGTGAAAATGCGTTCCTTCGTGAAATATGAAGCGATAAACCGTTGTTCGGGAAAATAAAGAAAGAGTCAATCTCTTCTGACGTGTACAATGCATGTATACTCAATTTACCTGCTGCTAACAAAGTCAACAGTTTTGAGAAACTGTTTTTCTTAATTTGGATAAAGTGTAAAAAAAATGAAGTTTCTCCCTTTGACGGCGTCGAAATTAGTTCCTTATATGGCACCGTTGGAGAAACATTTGACTCGTCGTGGTTTGGCAGTACGCGCCCGCTTCCCCTATCTGGTGCTGCACCATGGTGCCTTTTCTACAAAATTGGGGGAAACGCCAAGAGGAGAGTGAGTGCGCGTACGAACGTTGCTGAGTGAATGCAGGGTGATATGGGGATGTACATTGGCATGTATATTCGCATGTATATTCGCAGTATATGCGCAGTAAGATATATTTCCACGGTTAACCTCATTTTTGCATTGTTCTGCCCCTGTGTAGCCATCTGGAGAACGAACAGAAAGAAAAAAAGAAAAGCAACTTCGCCCCAACTTCGCCCATGGGTAACGGTTTCCCCTCAGCACTTTTCCCCTTTCGTATCTGATCAGAGACGGCAATTTTTGCGTCGCGCAGACGAGTTTCTCCCCCCGTCTGAAACAGAAGAAAAAAAAAATTAGACACAATGTGTTTACACATACGTATGTGTGCATACGTGGAATAGCTAAAAGGAGGCAGTATAAAAAAAAAAAAAAAAAAAAAAAAAAAAAAAAGAAGAGGGAAGAAAAGAAGAAAAAAAAAAAAAAAAAAAAAGAAAAAACAAAGAGAGGAGCAAAGGAAAATCAACACAGCGTGGCAGTCACTCCCTCGAACAGAAGTGTATAATAAGGATAGAGAAACAATTTACATTTGTTTTTATCACCCTGTAGGAAGATGCAGAGAATTAGGGTTACGACTTTGGTGGTACTGCTGGTATGCTACTACACAAATGGGAAAAGTATTTTCCGAAAAAGGAAAATCATTTATGGTTCTCCCCATTTGCTAAATGCCCCTGACGATGAAGCGAGCAGGTTCCCCTCCCTGGACAATTTAAAGGAAAAGGAACCACAGAGCAGGAACGAGGATGGAGTGTATGGAATGCGTAGCCACTTTGTCGTGAAGGAAGGGATGAATAATGTGAAGGAGGTGAAAAATGGGTCGTTCATTCTTTTAAGTGAAAAGGTGAAAGACACCCCCTCAGAGCACGAGGAAGAGGAGGAAGATAGCCACGACAATGCTGACCATGCGAATAACAACGGGAGTTCACAGAACCATGGAGACGACAACGGCGAGAGCGAGCACAATGGCAACGAAGAGGACCACGCGGAAGGTGAGCACGAGCACTCGGACAACGGTGACAGCCACGACGAGAACGAGAACGACAACAATAACAACAACAATAATAACAACAACAATAACAATAACAACAACTATAACAACGTGAGCGGCGGCTACTCCACGGCCCTTCCGCCTCCTCCCCCTGTTGTGCCACCTCCCCCACCTCCACCCATGACTCCCTCGGGCATCGTCGGCAACGTCGTGTCAAACGTCTTCACCGCTGGATTGAAGTTTCTTGGCGTCCCATAGGCCCACTTCATCGCTTACTAACCGCGTGTGCTGCGTGTGGCGTGCCTGCTTTAACCATACAACTTCTTTTCCTTAATCTTTTTAAATTTTTAAAAAATTCCATCGCATGAATATCGCCTTAAAATCACACACACATGAACATGTAAATTCATACGTAAGAAATCCCTGTGATCGTCTTTGCACTTTTTTGAGCGATCGCCCCTCTTTTGGTGGAAACTTTTTAATTTTTGTTTTAGGTTTTACGATGAGGGGATAGTTTTATCTCTTCATAACAGACGTACCACCTGTGGGTCTCATGCGGTATGTGCATTTTGCCAGGAAAGTGCTCACGTCGGCGCGGTGTGTGTGAGGACTTCACCGCGAGAAGGTTGAAGATTTTAAGCCTTTAGTGTGGGGAATACCCTCCATCTGCTGCCAAGGCGAAAGGGGAAGAATTCGCGCTGCCAGAGCAGCAGCGTAGCAATATGTAAGCAACATAGCAATATGTAAGCAACGTAGACGCCGAGAGTTAGTAACCTTCCTGACTCAGTCGTAATGTAACTCGGCGACAGGTTGTATGATTCGATTGGGCCTCCCTTCCATTTGCCTACAATTAGTAGTGATTCTTTTTTTTCTTTTTTTCACCAACTTGATACGTATATTGGGTTTCACAGAGGTGCCAACGGGGTCCCATAAATTGGGAACCCTGTTCAGTTGTGTTCTAAGCATCAGCTCTATATGTTGACGAATGTGTATTTGCACCCGTGCCCAGCTTAGACAACTTACAGTTATCATTCTGGAACGAAAAGGGTGCTTCGACAAAATTGAAATGGGTGAAGGAATTGTAGGCTAGCGAGGGGACACACAACTGTGTGTGACAGGTGGATGGAAGGGACCATTATATGAGCGACGGTTGAGGAGGTACTCCATAGTGGTTACCCCTTTCAGGTGACTGCAAGGAGCTATGATCATTATGTGCACCTTTTTTTTCCTGTTTTTTTCTTGAGAAAATGTATCCTTTTCCTTTACTTTTTTATGTACCTATAATGTTAATCTGATTAGGTACACATACGAATGCGGTTCGGCTGCAGAGGGGGGTGAACAACAGGTCGTTATTTTCTCTACCCCCAGCAGGGGGGTTTACTTAATATTTCCGAAGCGCGCCGGCGATATGTTGGTGACTGGTCTACCATGCCTCAACGTTTTAGCCACGCGTTAAAGATTCTATAGAATTTTTTGCGAATTTGACTTCCTATTTCCCTCCGCGCGAGTATCCATAATTGGAAAGGGGCGAAGAGGGCGACTAGTAGTGGCCCCTCTTTGGGGGACGCCAAAATGGGAAAAGTTGGCGTGTCGTCAGAGGGCTTTCGCTGGAACGTGCGAACGTGCGGAGGTATGCGTAAAGACAGGCTTACAACAGGCGCACACACAAGCACGTGCAGACGCATACGTATGCATAACTGCAGGGGCGTCTGACTGGATCAGTGGCGTTGCCCTGGAAATGCTTCCTCAAAAAAAAAAGCAAAGGGAAACGAAAGGAACACCGCGAACCGATGTGTGGCTATAAAGAGGGACATAGAAAAGTGCTAGCAGACATCTTTTCCATTTGGGGATGGAATTGTCCGATGTACCATGGAACATGCGTGGGAGGCAAAAGGAAAAAAAGCAAAAGAACGAACGAGGGAAGAAGCGAAGAAGCGCGGGAAGGAAGAAACAAACGCGGAGCACACCCCACGGGGAAGCAAGGGGAACCAAGAGGAATTCACAAGTGGACCATTACGTACACATATGAAGACGTGTGTACATTCACAAAAGCTGCGTGATGTGCTGGAAAAAAAAATTCTACCCTTGGGAAAGGCCATATAGATAGCGCGTGTGGGCTGTCACTGTAGTATGGTGGAAAAGAAAAAAAAAGAAAAAAAAAAAAGAAAAAAAGAAAAAAAAAATAAAAAAAAAGGAAATAAGAAGGAAAAAAAAATAAAAAAAAAGGAAAAAAGAAGGAAAAAAAAAAAGATAAAATTCCTTCCTCACAGAACTGCCTACAAATCAGTGTGTTCATTTTTTGCTGATTTTTTCGTTTCCTATTTTTTCCCCATTGTTTCCATTTTTCCCCTTTTTCCTATTTCCTTTGCTCGTTCTCCTTCCCATTTTTCCGTGCGATGGCATTTTAAACTTCAAACCTGTGAAACGTACGTCTTCCCCTTTTGTTTTTATTTCTATTTAAAAGGAAAAATTTTCCCTTTTGTGAAGAAGCAAAAATAAATGTACAAATGTACACTTGCCATGCGCAAATGTCCAAACGCGCAAACGCACATGAACAAATGCACAAATGAACATAGGAACAAATGTCCACCCCTTTTGACCCAGCGGAGGAAACACACAAATTTTAAAAAAGCGAGCGCCACTGATATGCATACGCAAAAGAAAACATTAACCACGGAAGGCATTCCTCGCACTGCTGACTTCTTTGGCGCGTAACTGATTGTCATTTCGCAGACAGAGTGTTTTTCCGCCACGCCGTTCACTTGTATATGCAGTCGCGTGTGAGTGTTTTTAAAAATACACATGCGTGTGCACACATACGGCGACATGTCCCCCTTGCGAACTCATTGTTGATGTTATTTTAAGTTTTAATTTCCCCGTTTTGTTAGGAAATTGGAAGTTTTTTTTTTCCGCCCCTTTGCGTCGACATTTTATGTTCTCTTTTTTTGCATGCGCCGTTTTACATCACCCTTTTGCGTCGCCATTTTGCGTTGCTATTTTCCGTTGCCCTTTTGCGAGCTTCTTTCTTCCCCCCCGCCGCTCTTCGACTCGTAATTAACTACGGCGCTTCTCAATCGCACAAATGTTTACCAAAAACAAAGGAATACTAGAGTGAAAATTAAAACAGCGCTCACCCAGCAGGTACCCCCCGTCACGCGAACATTTGTCTACACACACATATCTAGAAAATTTTGCGGTATCGCGAAGGAGCAACGTTATATCATCGTGTGTGCAAATCGTTTCCACTCCCCCCTTGAGCAATTGTAACCCGCATTTGGCATAGCCATTTGGAAGAACCATAAGAAACACAGATCCATTTAAACAAAGAAGCATTAAGTACGTAGAAAATTCCGTCTAATCAAAATGTATACATACGGAGTAGAAGGAGATGACACCTATTTGCCACAGCCTCAGTACCCATCCCCATATGAAAATCAGTATGGACAAGATGATGAGTCGCCAAGCCCTCGAGGGGAAAACCATACCCCCTTCATAGGTTATTTTAGTTCCCATTTATTAAGGACTGGATTCTTCCTCCAGTGTGTGTCTTTAATGCTTATGTTCATATTCTATTGGGCCTTTGGTGGTACAGGAATCTTTGTGTTTGATTTATATGCCGGTCCAGAGTGTGTAAAAGTGTCAAGTGCATTTCATTTAACCATTTCGATTTTGATGGCCATATATCTCTTGGGAACGTTGTATATAGCCATGTTCCAAGTGTTCGTAGCAGATAACAGCAAGTGGTGCCGAGGGTTCAGAGCAGGTTCGAAGTTATTATCCGCAGCTGTGACGTTAGATCTTTTATCCTCCATTTTGAGATTAGTTCAGTACTTGTATGCATACTTTTACATGAGCATGAGATGGTGGGCAAGATACCAACAGACCAAGTCCGACTGGACCCTGTTACACTTTGGCAGCATTGTGCACAGCTTCGCTTTGTTCATATATGGCGCTGCGTTTTTTTACATGGAAGCTTACCACGATGAGGGCACCTACGAGGAGCTCGCTTGGTCCAACTTGACTCTGTTCAAGTTGGCAGGTTTGGCCGGTACGTCCACAGGAAGGAGTGCCTCATTCGCGCACTCTGCATCGGTGCCACCGTGCGGATATCTCCCTGTGTGTGTACCATTAGGTGTATCATAATGTCTACTTAGTTTTACCCTTTTCACGACGCCATTTTTCTATTCCTCCCCTTTTTTGTAGAACTACTGATGGTGTTTTCCGGATTTGGAGCTTTTTTCTCCATACTGCTCCTAGGTGCGATAATGTGCGCAACTGTCTGGGCCTTTTCCTTCGAACCACTGCTAGAAAAATGGTCCCCAGAATTGCACAGCCGAGACATAAACGCAGACGTCTTGCCCGAGATAAAACACGACGACGAACAAGGGGGATATAACGAAGAAAATGTTTATGAGCCCTACAATGTAAACCCAGAAAATATGGAATATGGACAGGAGATGGTTCCACAAAACATGAACGAGAAGTACGCAAATGGAAACTCTTATGACCCAAACATATACGCGCAAAATAACGGCATGCCAACCACCTATGATTACTCGCAAATTGAAGGTCAAGTGAAGCAAAACTCTGAAATGGGAGTCTCAGAGAATTACAGCAAAAATGGTCAATTCTGAAGGGGACGCAAGGACGGAAGGGAATAACAGAGTATAATCGGTTCAGGCCAAAAGAGAGAAAAAAAAAAAGTGCACACATATGGATAGCTAAAACATCTAGATAGATGGATAGACACTGGACCAGATGTGCCCCTGTGTAAATCATGGGAGGGAAATTTTGCAGAAAGGCAAAGAAGCGAATGCAGAATTGAAAAGGTCGATAGACAAAAGGCATCGGTGAGGCAACGGAGAACCAACGGAGAAGTAGATCGTAGTGATATTTTTATGGCAATTGTTTCTTTTTTTTTTTATCCTATGAACGTTCATAATTTTATTCCCCTTTTTAGCCATTTTTTTTTTTTTTTTTGGCTAATCCATCCCATTTGATCATTTTTTTTTTTTATTAATTTTTTTTTTTCTTCCGATGGCGCATCAAAAATTAAGGCCCACCAATGAATTGTTGTACGTGAAAATGCATTGTAGATATATTTTACTTCTACATTTATGCAGCATTTTTTTATCCGTGTGCAAATGTGTTTTATGATTTTTTCTTTTTTTTTGCTGTCTACAATTTTGTTGTTATAAGAGGTTTCCACTTGTGCCATGACGTGTGCTGTGCCGCTGTTGAACCGTATCGACAGAAACCAGTCGCCATGCAGAATAGCAATACAGATCACCGTACACGCCGAGTTCGCAACTCTATGTTCACTAACTGTTTATTTCTCCATAAGAGTAGCGCACCCCCGTGTGTGAAGTTTGTGTCTGTATATACGTACATGCAATAATATGTAGATTGAGCAATACATACCTTTCCGTAGTCATACGTGGCTGCGCGTCAGGAGAGATCTGTCGACACGTTCCCGCACGGAGACATATGAAACCGCTTTTTGTAAAAAACGCCAAGTGGACCTCTTTTTTGTTTTCAAAAAGACAATGACTCTTCTGCATCGAGGAAATGGACGCGCTTTGGTTTCTCTATAAACAATTCCAGCGTCTGTGCTGACCGCATCGCGCACTGGTGAAGGGGGTAAAAAAGTTTAAGAAAATGACGACAGAAGGTGGACTACACCTTGTGTGAAAACGAATAGGACTACGCGTCGCTGTAAAAATACTACCTTTCCTTTTCGAGGTGCACAAAAAATGTGTCCGTAAAGGGGCAGCACCGGGGGTGGAAAAAAGAGGGGAGACGCGAATTGCTACATAGTTATGTGCACATTTCACCACGGGGGTAGAAAATGAGCAGCACGCAGAGCAGGTGCGAACGGGAGTGGCGTACTCACTTGTACAGGAAACACACGGGGCGCATATCACATGGATGTTCTCCCTAAGCATTGACACGCGTTTGGGAGCTGTTTCTACTTTCATCAAATGAGTGAATTAAAAAATGGGATATGTGCACACTCTTACATCTATGTTGCTGTGTGAGCAGTTTGTCCCCCTCTGGTTTTTTCCATTTTTTCCCCTTTAGGGGGAAGGTAAAATTGCCGTGTGTGTCTTGGGTATTCACACAAGATGTAAACGCTGATTGTTATTCGTGGGAGAGCATATATATATATATATGAAAGACCCTACAGCTACGCACGTGTTTTCCCCCGAAGAGGCTGAATTAAGCCAAATGAAGTGATGAAGAGTTAAATGAACCCTCTTGTGGCGATATTAAACGACTTCCTACGGCTGGCCTACATTGCTGCGGTTGTGCTGGTTCCACAGGTTCGTCAAAATGGACGTGACGCGGAAGAGTTCTATTGGGATTCACTGCGAGGCAGGTTTTTTGGGTTATGCTTCCGGTTATACTTTCGGCTATGCTTTCCGCTCCGGTTCTCCTACTGTAACTTCTTCCCCCTCCGCCTTCTCCTTTCCGTTTGCTTTTGCCTCTTCCTGCGCTTCCTCCCGTACGTCTACCGTTTCCCCGTCCGTTTTCACCTCCTCGCCCACTTCCCCCTCCTGCGCACTGAGCAGAATTTTTTTCTTGGCCAGATTTTTATCCATATGTACCATTAGATTGTACAAAAAATCGCAGTCGGTGGAGAATTCCTTGTCCTTGACGATAGTGTACAGGTCAATATATTTGACGATAAACAATTTGGCTAGCCTGAATTTGAACACGGGGTCGTTTTTGCTTTTTTCACTTTCCTCAATTTCGTTGACGGGGTCATTATCAATGTGCATTTTCTGTTTGTAATCTTCCAGTTTGTCAATTAGTTTTTCAATTAGTATTTTTTCTTCATTTTTTTTTTTTCTCAAATCTATGAGTGAGTCGCTATCGTCTAGTTCCCAGAACTCGGCTTGTCTGCCCAGGTAGATTTTGTTAATTTCGAGGAGGAAGTTGTTCACTTTGCGAATGTCTCGCAGGCTTTGGGGGTACGCCTTTAAGTCGTTCGGTTGGTCGGGAAGTTCATCGTTCGGTTCGTCAGCAAGTTGATCGTTCGGTTGGTCGGGAAGTCCATCGCCAATTTCATCGATGGCTTGCTTGGCGGAGTGCCCCCTTTGCTCCACCTCTTCCCCATTGCTGCAGTCTTCTTTGTTGGTTGGAGCGGGAAAGTGGCTAGCCTCCCTCTCATCTTGATAGGTACTATTTGTCTGCATCTGTCGATTGGAACCACCTTCACAGCTGCCAATCAGCTTTGTGTAATTGTACGGATTCTTTCTCAAATTTGGATTATCCAAATTGGCTAGATAATAATTTTTCATTTTCTCATTTAGCAGTTCAAAATTATGTACGAGCTGAATTAGAGTCTGCACAGGAGAGGAGTTTTCGTCGACCATTCCGTTGTCAGTATGATTCGTTTTCTGTTTTTTGTGCTTCTTATTCCTCTTGGATTGGTCTTCCAAATGGTTAAATTCGAAAGGCGATTCAGAATTTTCTTTGGTCGGTTTTCCGGTGAGTTGCTTCTTCCAACTGTACCAGCAGTACTCGGAGGCGAGAAGGTTCATAAAGAATTGCATACTTTTGGAGTTGCTTAGATGACGTAATAAGTCCTTTACGAATAGATGCAGAGTATGTTTTGTCCTTTCGCTAACCGATTGGTGATCTTTACCTTTTGTGTCGCCTGCGTTGATGTCTTTCATATCTCTGACATCTTTCACATCCTTCACTTCTTTGACTTCTTTGGGGATATTTTGGGTACCTCTACTGCTGCTACCTGATATTCCTGGGTGAGCGGGGTCGTTATCTTTACCTCTGCCGATAAGACTGCTTGTATTGCTTCCCATCTGTGACGTCCCCTCTTTGGCATTCTTTGAGTATGTTCTTGAGGAGTTGCGCCAAAATGGGGAGTTCCCACTCTTGTCTTCGCTATTCCTTATTCCCTCTAACGATTGCGCAGATGCAGATTGATTTGCTGTGTCTAAATTGAGTGCAGAAGTGGTGGAGCGATTCGTCTCTTTTCCTTTCGAATCGACCGTTCTGTATTCACTGGAGGAGTCTTCATTTGCAGTGGGCGTTAAAATGTTCAGTTCGACATTGAGGTAGTTGAGGACAAGCAGGAGGTTAAAAAAGAAGACGCAAATAAAATTTTTGTCGCGAATGAGCAAATTGTATATGTGTATGTTTCCCAAGAAGTCAATGTCCGAATTGTAGAGGTACTCCTTCACGATTTTTACACTAGTGAGATTTTTTTTTTTCACGTTTTTAATATGTGCCAGGAAGAGGTTAAATGAGTTGTATGCGTCTTCCAATGGGGCACAGTTTTGCGAGGTACACATTTCTGGGGACCGGACAAAGGAAATGAGATACAGGTAGGCCAAATAGGCTTTGTAATTTTTCTTTTCTTCATTTGGAATTTGGGCCATTAGGTTCCGCTTCGGCCTTTTGATATCTTTTTTATCACTATGGATGACTTGGTCGGGGGTTTCTTCTTCGTCCCTCTTCCGCTTTCTGATGGAGTCCCTCCCATTTGTGTGCGCCTTCTTGTCTTTGCTCGGGGGGTGGATTGGCTCCTCCAGTCCGCAGTGGTCGCGGTTGCTGAGAAGATCCTCTTTCGGTTTGTCCCCCTTGGTGGGATCATCCTGGCGGTCAGCACGGTCGGGACGAGACACGTGATCAGCGTCATCCGCGTGATTGGCCTGATCGGAGTGATCTTCGTCTGGCTTGGCGTCGCCCCCACAAGAGCGGTCACCGTTGGGGATTGCACTGCTGAGGGTGCCATCGCTGGTTGACCCTTGCAGGCAGAGGGAGTTAATTTCAGCCAGAATGAGTTCCCTAATTTTCGCATGATTTTTGACATTTTGCCGGATGCCCAATTCGAACTCACTAAAAATTAGGGACTCATCATTGGCCGTGTCCTTACAACGCTGCAGGGAGTCGTAAAAGAAGAGGTGAAAGTTATTTTTTACCGACTGTCTGTTGCAGAAGCCAAGGTGGTTTATGGGTAAACATTCGGAAAGTAACAAATGGAGAAAAAAAACATTCATGGATTTCTGTTTCGTATTGAGAGAATTCTTTTTTTGCAAAATTTTAATAAAACCAATAAGTCGAGCTCCAACAGACTGAGTTTTTATGGGATCATTAAAAATGACGAAATTTTGGAACTCTTTGTACTTTTCAATGAAGATATTTTTGTTCCGTCGAAAGAAACTCATCAGATGGTCCATGTGTCTGACCGGAATGATATTTGCAAAATCGGAGAGGATTTCTATACAGTTTACTATGTGGACATAGTAAGGTGTTAACGTGAGGCAGATTTCTGCGAAGTGGGTTATCAGTTCAGAGACAACGTGGCTTGTTTGCATTTTGGCAATCACGGAAAGGAAGAAACTCTTCAGTTCAGTTACGAAATTGTTTAATATTTTATTAAATAAGAGCTCGTTCATTTGGACGAAATCTGCATTTTCCTTTTTTTTTGATGGATTTTCTACCTCCTTGGGGTCATTACCCTTTCGTGTAGCGTCAACTGAGAGGGATATGGCTGCCCCACTTCTATCACCACTGATAGTTAAGTCCATTGAGTTGTTAACACTGCTTCTATCTTTTTGTACGTTATTCTCATGTGAATTGTTTCCGATATGATCTTTTTCCGAATTTTCCAGGATGGGTCCCCCCCCACTCGGAACAGAATTTACCCCTTTTTCCTTTACAGAATTGAAACTGTAGGATAAAATGGACTGCTCCTCTTTCCCGTGTCCTTTTAATTTGTACGTGTTACACATTTGAGTGTAATTATTTTGCTGCTTTGTTCCCTGTGATGAGACATATTCTAGCATGAGGAAATTCGCGCTGATTTCATTTTCATTTTGTATATTGTTCATTAGGATCTTCAGATAGTCACACATAAGGAGTCGTGTGTTCCTTCCATTGAGAAAGGCGACGGCGTTCTTGAGACTTTTTCTTGTTATCTGGGAGTGTTTATCTTGGTTTGACTCATCTATGGGGGGAAGAAGCACGTGGTCTGCCGCGTCAGCATCCCTCCGATTGTCCTTGACCAACGCCTCTGTGAGAGTTTCCCCATTCAAGTATTCCCCTCTCACAAAAAGACGAAAGAAGAAAAGTGCGTAGGAATAATCCTTGGCCAACTCATTCGAGTGGTAGCTTCTGATGCTCTCCCGGAATGACTTCTCCTCTTGGTATTTGTGTGTAAATTCGTTTTGCACTTTAAGAATGGTTAAATAGTCTTCCTTTATCTTTCTCAGTTTATTCATTTTCTTCAAGTTTTTTAGTCTATTATTTTTCTTTTGTGAGAGTACCAAAAGGGACGACTTAGACGAGTTTTTTTTTTTTTTTTTTTTTTTACGTCCTTCCAGTTTGTACCTTTTCAAGAACAGGTTTACTTTTTTCTTTGCTCTCTCGTGCATTCTTTTTTTGTCGTTCATTGTGGTGGATAGTTTGTCTCGTTGGTGATTGACAGGGGTGTTTCTTCCAGCGGTATCACCCTCGTTGCATTGGCGGTGGAACATTGTTTCGGTGTCCTTCCCCGCCTCGGTCTCTTTCCCCACCTGGGCCTTCACTTTTAAATCGCTCTCTTTCACCACGTTCGAGCCCATCAGCACTTTGCTGGCCTTCTCTGCAATTTGTTTGAAGATCATTTTGGGAATTCTCTTCCTTTACAGTAGGGGAGCGAGGGGGGGAGGCAACGGCAAGTTGGGGGATTGTGCTATCTGCTGGGGATGCTTCCTCCCCTGCACAGAGGCACCAAAGCAGCGGCTCAGCGAAGAACGTACCGTTTGGTAGTCGTCCAAAAATGTGAATCGCCCCCAACAGGGGTTATGTACCTTACGTCTCTGCAAATTGGGGCATGTTCCCACAGGGGGGTCTGCATATGCCGTTGCGTGGCTGCTCTGTGGATTGCTTCATTTGGAGGGAAGCGCACTGGAATTGGATCAGAGCATAGCATAACATAGCAAAGGATAGCAAAACATAGCAGAGCACAGCAGAACAGAGCAAAATACAGTGCATGCGAAGCCTCGCTCCTTCTAAGAAGTGCGTGTATAAACACCCGTTTGGTATATCCCTTGTGGGGATTTAAAACGAGGGGGCGGCAGTTATATTTTTTATGCAGCGTTTGACTGCTTCGTAGTAGTACAATAAACTGTTTGGAACGTCATTGGGGACTTATTCTTTTTTTTTTCCCCGTTTCCGCGCTGGTGGAAGTTGCTATGCCATGAATACTTCGTGTGGGTCGCTTGGCAGCAGAGGTTAATTCGCCTTCACTTCAGAGCGAAGAACCAGTACCGCGATGCAAGTGCGCCGTCGTGGTGCGTTTACCACTCGCTTTGTGCACGGCGCGTCGAAGATTTACATACGTGCGATAATGAACATGGTACATGCTCGCATGCTGAGTGTCACTTTTGCGTTTACGCTTTGAGGAGGAAAAGTTTTGCATTCTTTACCCCACGGTTGGGCACTGCGTTTCACTAGATGCTTTTTTTGCCTGCGCTTCTTTTCCCTTCGACACGCGCGTACGGGGGGCGGGGGTTAAGCTAGTCGCCCGTTGGCATCGGACGAGCGGAGAGGAAGCCGTCGAGTTGGAAATGCGCATCGAGGGAAAGTTGGCATGCACGCATTGCTTAAAAGGTAAAGGAGTGGACAGAAAAGTTCGATTGCCGCCGCGATGGATTAAAAAAAAAAAGGGACCAAAATCATGAGGGGAATGACAAGCGGAGTGGCGATCAACATGCCAACAATTGCGTGCCAACATGAAGGAAAATTACAGACGCGAATTAAGTCTGCATTATGTGTGATGATTTTTTTTATTTTTTTCTTTTTAAACGCAAATGGCTCGAGAGGGTGTCACCATGAAATGTGTCTGTTTTGTGCACGTATAAACAAAACAGGGGGGAGAGCGGCCATGCCAAAGAAGAGTGTTATTGCCGGGAGAAGGCATGCCCCACACGGAACAAATGGGAATGCAACATGATTAGTCAGTTTGCGGAATTTAAATAGAGGCGTTGTTGTATGCAGAGCTTTCACCCTCCACGCACGCCCTGTACATCGTGGAGACGCCAAAGGGGGGGACCATCCCGTTAGTGACGCCATTTGGTTAACACTTCTTCATCGTAAATTTTGGGGAATGTACATTTAGGCGTATCTGGTGTGTGGCGGCAGCTCGGTTAGCTGAGCTTCTGCGGATTGTTCAGTTTGTACAGATTACTCAGCTTGCGTACATCGCACCTGGGTTCCTCGCACCTCCTTCGATTGCATCACGTTAACATCTCACCGTGGTTGAACTCATCATCAGCTGTTTGGGCATATACGGGTATGCATCAGGGGGTGAGAAATGGTAAGATCCAGGCTGCCCCCCAAGGGAGAAGAGAAGCCACTTCGTGCATGATGCCCCTTTGATTTGTGCCAATTTTGAATGTCATAGCTTGACAATGGCTGTGGAAATGGGAAAAAGAAGGGGCAGGAGAGATAAAGTAATGTGTGGGTGGAAAGACTTCACGTAGCTACGCACGTTATGTGTACGTACACGGACGCTGAGACAGAGGATCATGCCGAGTTACACACTTGCGTATCGCTGCTTACCATAAGGTTCCCCGTGGTGCATCCCCACCATGAAGGGAAAGTCGCTTCCCGTCTGCGGAAGGTGATACCTGCATTTGCGGAAAGTCTTGCTTGAAAATCTCATCGAACGTGAGTCAGCAGAGAAGTCGTAGTTGTAGGGAACAATGCGCCTATCTCGATTATTTTTATACTGCTTCATAATAGCATCCCTAACACATTTGGACAGGTAAAAATAACCTATAAACGGGATGATGGCCAGATTAAATAGGAGATAAGCAGTGGTCAAGAAGAGATACTTGTACATATCTTTAATTGTGTGTCTTCTTGCCCTCTCCTCTTCGAGCTCCAATATTTTTTTATTTTTCTGGCGTATGTATTCAATTAATGTTAATGGTTTGTTTTTCTTCTCTTCTTTTTTTCTTCTGAAGAAGTTTTTAACTCTTGTCATGAGTGACATTTTTTTTTTCTCCTCTTCCATCTCCGCTCGCTCCTTCGATTTCTTTGGAATGATCACATTTGTATAATATTCATTTATTAAGGCCTGAATGTTATTTCGATGGTTGTTTTTTCCTTCAGTTGGAAACTCCTTGGGGGGGTCCTCCTCATCCTCCGGTGACGCATCTTCGATTTCGGCGTCGTCTCCATCCGATGCTGTGTCGTCCACATCTTGTTGCTCCTCCTCTTCTCCCGCGGTGTCGACCTCATCTGTGTTATCTGATTTGTCCATCTTGTCTACCTTGTCCGGCTTGTTGACCTCGCCGCCCTTCTCATCCCCGTTGGATCCCTTTTTTTCCCCCGGCGTGGAATGCCCCCCGCGGGTGCTCCAGTCACCCGGCTCGATTAGAATTTTAGCCTCATTGACGTCCCTGCTGTCTACATCTCCCCATACGATGGTTAAAAGGGAGAAAAAAAAAAGGAAGACCAATTTGTCACAAAACATGATGCGTGTGTAAGGCCGCGTAGGGATGTGTATAGTCAAGGAACTGTGTCTACGGCTGTGCAAAGGGGCTGTAAATATTAAGGTAAAAAAAGGTTGGTGCAGAAGAAGCAAGCAAACAAACAAACGGATGTGGAGTAACGCAGCTTCTGCAAATAAACAAGAAGCCACAGTTGGGAGCCGCCACCAAAAAACAAAGAAATTCACAAAAAATATAATAAGCATATGATCAAAGGGGTAAGCGACACTTCCGTGGAGGGGCAGAAACCGTACCGCGGTTGAGACAATGCTCAATTCTGTGGCTAATCGCAAATGGACGAAGTGGATACTGTAAGAAAAAAAATACGTCCTATATAAGGAGAAATATTTCTTTTAGGAAATGTTGACAAATTTTTCTCTTCGACAAAAGAAGATGGCTCGTCGCCTTTGTACAAGTGTATGTACTCACACCATGCACGTAATATATATATATTGAATCATGCCACTTGGTACGTGTCAGGGCGAATGGAAACAAGCTACGCGAAAGTGAATTATGCTTTAAACGACGGAGTTCCGTGAAGTTCACCATGCATGGAGCAATGTGGAGGGCGGAAAAAAATACAGAAAAGGAATGAAAAAAAGAAAAAAAAAAAAATGAGAAAAAAAGTAGAAGTTGCATACGCGAAAAGAACGGTTGTTAGAGAAAAAATTCGAAAAGATGGCAGATGGGTGTGAGCATGACAAATAAAAACCGCGCGAAAATAAAAAAATATATATAAACAAATGTGCGAAGGATGCAAAAGTGGCTGGCACAATTAGCAGGGGAAGAACCAAGTCTTGAATTGGGCTCCAAGTGGATTTGTCATCCCTCGCACGGTTAAGAAAAGTCTGTTGTCAGATAGACTCGCGTTCTCTACACGCGCGTTGTATGAATACATATGCGCCAAACCGCGCATGCATATGAGTACATATCTCTACACCATACGCACACATGAATATGCATATTTGCCTGCTTGTACATACAAACATAGGTGTGTTTCGTTTTATGTTCTTTCCACTTAGAAGTATTTTCATCGCCAGAAGGCGGGGCGATGCACTAAACAAGTGAAAAATTTTAGCTTAGTGGTTTGGCATTGGGTCACAGTGAAAAATTAATTTGCATGTAGTTAGAGGATTCCTCCGCGGAGCCGCGGGGAGTGAATTTGCTCTGTTTGTTCTTCTTCCCCCTCCTGCGTCTTTTACCTTTTTTTTCTTGTTCCTCTCTTGTGTAATGCAGCCGTGGCGTAAGGGCAGTAGAACTGCATGTTATGACTTCACTGACAAATGAAAGGAAAAGAAAATGTATTTGTATGTGTCTGCATGTGTTTACACGTATATTCGCGCATACATGCTCTAGCATATGTATAGACATATGTACAGGTGTGCATATCTGCATGCGAGTAGGAGGATGCCTCTTGAAATATCCGAATTCTCATCGAAACAACGGGGGCGATTAAAACAGGAGAGAGAGAAAAAAAAAATGCAATTCTGATTTGCGTTGTAAAAAGAAATGTACATCCCGCCCAGTTTTACCAGTCTGCAATGGAAGGTACAGGTCCGGTTGCGGACAAGGTTGTAAAGGTGGCTCGTTCGTGCACCTCTCATTCTTATCCCAATGCTCAAAAGGGACGGGAAAATGAATAGCAGAGAAGCAGTTTAGGGGGAACTTGACTTGGTGAAAAAAAAGAAAAAAAAGGAAACAGAAAAAAAATTATGATATATTTATACGTAAGCACATTCTCGTGAGAACTCCACTGAGTATAAAAATATGCATGCATATTCGTTTTCCCCTTTGACTGCTCACCCTTTCGTGGAGCTTTTTTTTGGGAAACATTAAAAAGAACAAAAATGGTTTGGACGCACCTGTGCTGATTGGCTAACTTATTAAGGACGAAGAGAGAGATTGAAAAACGGGACAGACAGAAGAGGTGAGATGAATCAATTTTTGCCAGTTCATGGGTTAAAACTGATTTGCTCTCCCCACCGAAAAAATTTCGTTTCGCCTTTTGTGGATGGTGCACTCGTTCGCTAGGCCCATTGCATGGATTTAGCAAGGCGAAATGTTACATAGTCTGGAGTATTCACAGGTTTCTTCTTCCTCCGCTGTTTACCCTCTTTCCTTCCCTATCTGATTTGTCTCAGGGAAGTTCCACAAAACGTTACACGGTTGATGAAAATGACGTGACGGGTACATGTGACAATCAGGAATATTTTTTTGGTGGGTGTTTATTTCGTTACGTAATTCTTTTTCTTAGTCGAGAACGCAATATGAGTAGAGATGTCGTACCTTGGGGAGAAAGGATCTACCAGACGTGAAGCAAAAGCGAAAGGGTATAGTCTCCCCAATCGATGTAAAGAAAAGAAAAGTGTAGCCTCTTTGCTCAGGGTGGATAAATTAGTTTGCCACACTTTGTCCACGATAACAAAAGGCGCTCGCAAAAGTCCATAAGTGTAGGGAGGTATAATGTGGTGATTCGAAGTTTTAGCCGTGATGCACACACGTCCTGATGCATGAAGGAGGCAACCCCATAAAATTTTCTTCCCCGTGTGGCACAAATGCGAATGTTAATAAAAGACATCTCTAACTGAGCAGGACATCAAAAAATAGTGATTTTCTTATTTTTCTCTGCCTTTTACGTCTGTTTATGGGTCCCGTCTGTGAACATTCAGTCATCCCGAGACTGTTCAGGTAAAACAAATGTGGTGGGACATAGGAGAGGGGTACGGGGTGATAATACACAGAATCGTAATGATACCGTTGGGATGAAGTTACCCTAGGTGCAGCTGACTTTACTGACCGGCATGCATCGCCATTTTCGCTTTACTTTCTGAAAGGGTAAGAATTAATTTTCTCTTGATGTAAATTGAAGCGCTGAAATGTTTTTAAAGGGTTGGAAACTGTGCGTTTGTACATACATACAATGCATGTGCATACGCACAAGTGCAGGAAAAAAAAAATAACTCGCAGGACATGAACAGGAATAAAGACATGCTGAAGTACGATCTTACGGACAGACGAGCGAACACACATACACGTACAAACAGGATAAGAAGGAAAAAGAAAAGAACATAACAACACACACGGACTGAAACAGAAACAGGCGGACGACACAAAACACGGGACAGTACAAAAACGGACGGTCAAAAATGGGACGGACAATCACGAACAAGCAACAGGAAATGACTCACTAAAGAACCTACGGGTCACGGACGATGCAGAGTAGTTTACGGAATTCACACACGAACACTTAGCGTACTTACAGGGGACTCACGAACATTACGTCTACGTACGAACAACTTGGGGCAAACGAGCAAAGGTTGCGCAACTCACACGTAGGAGAAGTAATAGCATCTCTATATGTATGTATATGTGTATGTATAAATATACATATGTATACACATGTATATGTTATAATACAACTATAGACACACATATAAATTGGCGAAAAAAAAAAAAAAAATTAAGTTTAAAGTTTTTTTTTTCCTTTTTTTTTTTTTCTTTTTTTTTTTTTTTTCTGATTTTTTCTTCCTTTTTTTTTCTTCTAGATTGGTACATTTCGTCTATTCTGGACAAGTGCGTTTACACAAATCTAGCTTCTGTTGGTCTTTGGCTTTTTGGCAACTTTGGTGCTGGGCTAGTGGTTCCTTTCTCATCTGGATGTGGGGCCCCTATATTTTCTACTTTTCATGTTGTCATTTCCAGTGCCTAGGAGAAGGTTAGGGTAGGAAGGTAACAACTTGAAAAAAAAAAAAAAAGAACAGCTCTTTCTTTCTTTTTTTTTTTTTCTTCTTCTCCTCTTCTATGTTATGTGTAGTGTGGAATGTGGAACAGGAAGAGGTGTAGGGAAGAATGCATTTTACAGGAAGTATGATTTATCTATCCAGTGATTGTTTTTTTTTTTCCTTCTTTTTTCCCCCTTTCCCCTTTTCGTTCCTTTTTTCCGTTATTTTTTCCTTTTTTTTCTTCACTTGCGTAGGAGTCGAAAAATGCCTTGGAGTTTAAAACGACGCGTCACCGTTATCTCACTTATGCATTTCATACACATAGGGTGTAAGATGAACGGTGTGCATATTTCGACAAGTACAACATGGAGTGCTTCGTGTGTGTGCATATACTTTTGCTACGTTTGCGTATTTTCTAAACTTAGAGCAGAAATGCAGGGAACGATATGTACCTATTCGTGTTACATAATTTCTCTACATACGTAGAAAGAATTATTCACACAGGTAGATAACATTTTTCTCTACACATTTTTTCGCTCTCAGTTGACTAGCTTAATAACCGTAATGCTTGGGGGGGGTCGATGTCAATGTGGTTTTGGGGAGATCTTCTTGTGAATTGGTTACGGTTTTGGTTTCTGTTTTTGGGGATGGTCTGTTTGTGATAACTGGGCCTTGAGGTTTTTTGTTTTTCTTTTGTTTGTAGTAGCTGTATCCTCCAAAGGCACCACCAAGGAGTATAGCTAAACTAGTTGCGATGGTGGATATGATCATGAGCTTTTGTTTTCTTTGTTTTTTTAGGATATCATTGTCAAGCTTTTTTAATGGCTTGGTCTCAGCAGGAACGGTCTTTGCTTCAACTAATCCATCATTGTTCAATCCTGGAACGAAAACCTTGATGGTTATGAGGAAGGCGACGAAGTAAAATAATTTAGCTAATTTCATTTTCGCGATCGTGGAGTGGATTGGCTTAGGGATGCAAGTATGTTAGGGTAGCCACGAAGCTTCTGTATATAAAGAAAACAATAAGGTAAAAATATGGCTCATGTATTTAGCCCATATAATATTATTATCCCTCGTATGCCGATGTGTTTAAGGTGATGATGGGCTGGAAAAAGAAAAAATGCGGAAAAGCAATAAAAACTAAAGCGAAAAATGAAAGCATAAAAGAAAAAAATAAGCGAAAGGTATGCGTAAAAACTAGGATAAGAGTGAATTGTGAAAAAATAAAAATTCTAAATTTTCATACAATTTTAAAATGTTTAGTTATTTTTAAAAGTTTTAGATAAAACAAGGGAAGAAAAAAAAATATATTATATATATTTTTTTTTTTTCGAAGCGTGATTATATTAAAAGTAATTCCGTATGTGTCAGAAAATCGAGCGGAAACTGCAGCTGCTATTTTTCGAAAATATTTTTCTTTAATCTTCTTTCACGGTGGGGGTGCGTGATTAGAATTTTTTTTTAAATTAAATTCGGCAAAGAACGGGGTATAATATAGTAGTATATATGTATTTAGATATATATAATATATTGTATAACATAATAATACGTTTGTGTATTTATATACGCCCAGGTGCATACGTAGGAAATCCCTTCACCGGTTAGGAAGGAAAAAAGAAGAAGAAGTTTACGTTAGTGAGCAAAGATTTTAAGTAAAAAGGGGGAGAAAAATAATTATATGCCACGGGGACTACCCTTTCGCACCAGGGTTTGCGTGTATGGCATGCAGACGGTGCCTATAAGTGGTACCATGTATTTGTTTAGGTGCACATGACTAATGCGTACGTACCGTACATTGCACGACGCACTGGTATGCGAAGTTTTTTTAGGTCGCTGCCTTCATTTCGGATTGCCCCTCGGCTGCCCTTGCTTTGCTGTTCCGCTCGTGGTGCCTCCGCAAATTATATTGCACATGCGATACGCAGGGGGAGTAGCAATTGGAGCAGGACTTTCCCCCCTTACCCCCCCGTTCCTTCGTTGTATATATTTAGTTGTTCTGGCTAACTGTACTTTGCGCGAATTTGGGAGTTAAACTTTGGGTTAAATTTGGCTTAAATTTTCGTAAACTTTGGAGTAAAATTTGTAGTAAAATTTTGCACCCTTTTTTGGGTCATTTTGACCCCCCTTCTTGATTAGTCCCGTCTCCGCGCCTGCGCTGTATCCCCCCCATGGAATTTTTTCCTTCCTCTTCTAATCGTAACCCCTTAGATAGAAAAACGGCGGAATGGTTCTTTGCCTTTTTTTTGCCTCCTCCTCTCTGGGAGGGGTTGGTGCATAAAATTGTGCGCTTCCTTTTCTCACCCCCCTGTCACACAATCTTAATTACGAAGAAGAAAGTGTACGCTAGGCGGATGTCATGCATTTATTTATATATATATGTGCATGCCCGAATAGTGGTCATCGCAGAGTAGTTTTGTCACATTTTATGCGCACCATCAGCACCTATATCCCTCATGAATGGTATCACTTCTACCGACATGTGTTTATGCATTCTGCAAATGGAGGGGATGTCAAAAAGGGGAGAGAGAAAAAAAAAAAAAAACAAGAAAAACTGCAACGGTTACAAAATGGATGTTGCGTTCTGCTAGTAGGCCTACTTATTGGTCAGCATACATACATAGCAGTGTGCCTGTGGGGGAGTTGCACAGGGGGGAATTTTTCACCTGCAGTTTATTTGAAAGCTTCTGTGCTAGTTAACTTTACGGAGGAGGATAAAATAAAGAGCATGGGTTCAGCTTGCATGGCACATTCCAGTGAAAAGAGGGCACATTTCTTTCGTAGCACAGGGTTTCTCCCATCGCAGGGGGTGTAAACTACTCCTTTAACGATGCTTTCGCAATTCCCCGGGGGAGCTTCAACAGAGAAATCATTAAGAGGAAGTACCAATATAAGGTAAACACACTTTCAGCTTCAAATGGAAGAAATATTTTTGCCACTGTGTCAGGTGGGAGAAGACACTTACAATACACCATGGGGAGAAAACAGGTTAGGTATGTGCATACGAGAAAGGGACGTGCACCTGTGTTCTTCTTTCTATTTTATATGCCAGTAGGGTAGCGCACTACTTTGGACGATTTTCCTCCAGTTTATCTCGCAAATGGAAATGCTGCTCTGTTTTGTGACTCCTCCTTTTTTTTTTTTTGTTTTTCTTCTTCTCGGCAAGGGGGCGAATCTCCTGTGCGCTAAGTTAGATTGAGCTCCCCGGGAAGAGGAAAAATACGGAAGAATAGAAAGGTGGAGGAGTGAAAAAATAACCAAGTGAAGGAATTCTTGGCTGTAATAGCCGTGGGGTGTGGGTGTCAGTTAACGTAGTCCCCTTTCGATAAGGTGATATGAAGAGAAAAATAATTTATATACGTCTACATTTGGTCGTGCATCCCTATGTCGTGAGAAAAGGTGATACCAATATTTAGGCATCCTCGTTGTGACATTCTCTCATTCGTTGTTTTTAAAAAGGGGGTCCCCCCTGTGTGACGTCATGTAGCAGGAGCAGTTTGAGCGGCTTGAATGGCTATTCATACCAATTTTAGAGGAGCCAAGAAATTACAAGTTGGCGACGCGATTGGTTAAGCGGTATGTGTAGATGGTGCAGTTAGCGCAGATATAAGGGTACATTTTTTTTCTTTTTTTTGACAAAAAAAATTATTAATTCAGGTTAACAGAAATAGGAAGGAGTGGCTACCCGATGAGAAGTGTGCTAAGGGGGCTTCCCATTTATTGCTATTTTTATGATAATTCTTTCCCCCACCCCCCTCTTAAATTTAATTTTAACGTGTGAGAAGTTTTTGCTATGGATATATAGTTGAAGTGTGAGGGGATAGTGGAACGGGAAGGTGTGGAGTTATTAGAAAGTCCTTTATATTTTGTGCTGACTGGAAGGGAGGAGGAAAAAAAGCACACAGCTTAGGAGGGTCTCCACTGTAGCATCGGGTTACCATCGAAAGATTTTTCAATCTGGGATTCCTTTAACCTGCCCATTCGGGTAATGAGCAGTGAGGAAGGTGGGGGAAAAAAAGAAACAGCTAAAGCGAGAATAATAATGAGGTAGTAATAAAAAGGATTAGAAAAGGATTATTTTATTTTTTCTCTTTTTGGAAGGGCCGCGTTTTTCTTGAAATGAATCCCCTGAGGAGTCCACCTTCGCAAGGGCACTATATTGGGGTCCACGTTCGAGCGCATACTTATGTTTCTCCCAATCTTCGCCTATTGTGGGGAAGTTTATAAAGGTCAAGTCAGGGGGGTGGGTGAGAGTCTCCCACGGGAATACCTAACATTCATGGGCAGGGGAAACCACTTTGTGAGTTGCAAAAATGGGGGGGTATTATTGCAAAAGAATGATGCGCGGGTACAGTTAGGTTAAGTGGTGAGCAGCCATGGAATTCCTTTTTTCTCTCAGCAAGAAAACAAGCGCGTGGATGAAGGATGTGCATATTGAATTGTTCACATCTGCACTTTTACGTGGATTTCTTGTCGGGGTTATATCCATAATATTATATACATGACTCTGCATGAGTAGTTTAAAAAAAAAAAAAAAAAAAAAAACTAGGTACGGAAAAATGGCAGCGTTACAGAACCGTTGCTCTAGCCTTTAATTTGTTAGCATGTCATCACCAGCAGGAAGAAAAAAAGTTGTAACTTCAATCTTTTGAGATTTAATCTAAGTGGATAAACAATGAAAAAGGGGTTTAGTTTGGTATACATACTCGGGGGATGGGAAGAATGCTCTAAACTGGTTAGTGTCGACTTTGAGTGGTGCCACCAACCCTCGGCGCGTGTGTCGGGATGAACAAAAGAAAAAAGGCGCGCAAATGGGTCTATAAGATGGTATGTGCAGATGTACATATAAGAAGGTATTACAGAAACGCAAATTAGATGAGACTTTTTGACGAAGCAGTCAGGCATCAAGTGGCAATGAAACTCAACCAGGGGGCAAGAAAAACTATGTCGATTAAAAAAAAAAAATCCAAAATATGTATATATAGATATATATACATGTACATTTATGTTTTTTTTTTTTTTTTTTCACATTCATTCCATTCCAGTTATGTATACGTTTGCAGTTTTGCGTAAGTTTATTTTTCGTTTGAGTACGTGCCATATAGTTTTCTCCCCCCTTAGTCGATTCTCTCGCCATGATAAAAGTCCTTTCCCCCGGGTAGGAAGCAGAAAGGGCAAAAAGATAAAGAAGCAAAACGGCTTAGGAGAAAATTATCCACGCATATAAAGTTCAGTAGTGATAAAAGCACCCTTTTCTAAATTGAACTAGATGTTGTTCCTTCTTTATCTTCACCCTGAATTTTCTCTCATTGGAAAGTGAAATCCCAACTATAGTTTAATAGAAAGTAGGGGATTCTCCATTTGACAACCCTGTATACTTGGTGCAGCCTGCAGAGATTGGTTCCCGTTTTGTTTTCTCTACGCTTCTCGTTTAAAAGAGGAGTATGGGGGGAAATAATTTTCGCTAACAATTGTTTTTTCCTTTTCACCTTCTTCCTATTTTTTTTTTTTTTCTTGCATAATTTTTTTTCTCGCGCGATTTAGTAGCCTCACATGCAGCAGAAGAGCTTTAACTGGAAGGACAATCGCGCCCCCCTCCCAACACAAAAGAAGAAAAAAAAAATCTTAACATACTAACGCTAATCCTACTCAGCCCGTGCAGACATGCCAAAGAGAATAATTTCGATGGTTTCTGGTGGGATAGTGGACCACTTTAGGAGCGCAAGACCCCTGAAAATCGGCAATATAGACGCGAGAGGCCTGTTTTTCGTGATAACGGTTATAATGTACATTTTCTCTTACCTAATCAGTTTTCGCCTGCTGGAAGAGGTAATGCATACAAAGGAGGCGTATACATGGGGGTGACACGCTTACGCCGATTCTCCATCACGCCGTTTGAAAGTACGCCCATTGAGAGCCTGCCAATTTGCAAACACGCCAATATGCAAACACGCCAATATGCAAACACGCTTGACTTACTCGATCTACTTTCTCCTTTTACAAAAGGATGAACGGGGAACCGTAGACCTGGAATTCTACGACGACGAGAATGAGAACTATGAGAGGCTTCGCGCCTCAAAAGCAGAAAACGCGGGTGATAAGCCTGATTCAGAGGAAAAGGAAAAGAGTGATAGCCAGAGTGATCACTGAAAGGGAGTCAATTGACTCCCTAGTCCCGGTTGGCAAAATGCAATTTTTTTATGCCGGTGGCCAAGACGCGGTGAGCCACAAGGAAATTTTACTATTTTATTTTATCATTACTTATCATTATTTTACTGTTATGTCTTAGTGGTTCGTTTTACCGTTCTGTTTTACTGTTTTGTTTTACCGTTTTTTTTACTGTTTTGTTTTACTCTTTTGTTTTCCCGTTTTGTTTTCCCGTTTTGTTTTCCCGTTTTGTTCTACTCTTTTGTTTTATTTATTGTGACCTCCTTTGCTTTCCTGTGTTTGTGTGACGAATTGGGAACCTCCACAAAGAGGACCCTCTAATAAGAGCAATTTTGTGCCTTAGTAGTATTTTTTAAGCCCCAATTTAGGGTTTGCTTTTCTTCCAGTTGGCTCATTTTTCTTTTTTAAAATGAATCAACCTTTTCCCGTCCGTTATGACATCTTTGTGATTAACAACAAATGGAAAAAAAAAGAAAAACAAAAAAAAAAATATTTTTAGTAAATCATGAGGATAATTCTCTAGGCTGGCGCGTCCACGTGCACAGAGGAGGGGGGAGGAATCACGCTCGCAGATGAGTTATGAAGATCCCCTTGCTCTCGGCTTTTTTTTTCTTTTTTTCTCTTCTTCTGTAATATCATTTGTGCTGGGAAGGTCGAAGCGGAAGGAATTCATAGCAATGAAACGCTCAAAAAGGAGCAAAATAAAAATGAGTGACACACAATGTTGGATTAAATGACCAGACATGACATAGACAGAGTTGGACTATGCGGAGTGAAAGATCTACATCTGCATAGAATGCACACACATGTTTCTTTTTAGTAATTAAAAAGAAAGAATGAACGTCAACTTAAGTTTTACAGTTTGTCTGGGTCTGCTTTTTCGTCTCTTGAGGGGCTCACGCAGTGGGGAAACACTTTCTGCGAAAGTGGCCAAGGATGATCAACTTCGTGGAGGTGAGGGAGCTCCTCGTCTGTCTTTCGTCGATCTCCGCGACGATGTGCCGTCCGCCCCCCCTTTCAGTCATAGCTTATATAGTGTAGCGTGTGGATGTTGTGAACGCCATACCCAGTGGAATAGACGAATAGCGTCTTCTCCTCATCCACTTTTACAAAGGATCCTCGGTAGCAACCGCATGGGCGAGATTTATGCACTTGGGGTTTCATAACGATGGCGTTATGTTCTGTGTAGTATACGTAGCACTCATCAAAGTTTTCCTGCTTGACGTAGCTGGTTATGTATTTTCCGTTTAGCTTCGTAAGGTTCTGAAGGGCCTTGTCCTTTTTAAACAGATCGACGTCTTTGCATTTGAACTTATATTCATTATTTCTTCCGTTGCGGTCCTCTCGGGTGCACGTCATATAGTTACCTCCCCGGATCTTTTTGCTGTTGCTTATTCGGGAGTAGAAGTAGAACCCAAATTCATTGTCAAGAACGATGGGCCGCAGGTAGAAGGAGGACTCTTCTTTCTGAACCTGTTCATAGTTTATTAGGATTCTTGTTCTACGGGGGAAGAAGCGATGAGTAGGGAAAGAGATGTGTTGAGGGTTGAAAACGGTTTAGGGCGAGTGACAAATGTGTTAGTGAAACGAAGGACAAAGCTGCCTCTTCCTTTTTTGGAGACGTGGAAAAGGGCTTCCTTCTCGTTTTCTTTTATTCTACCCCTTCGGAGAAAACGTACCTCCAGGTTCTTCCCTTGTCTTCACTGGCAAAACAGGAAATAAAATTATTCTCGTCGACACTTTTGTATGCGTAGGAAAGTATTCCGCAAATTTGAAGAAATTTTTTATTTGAAATGACTAGAGGAACTGATGAGTATGAGTCCATGTTTTTGTAGGCAAAGGCTTCATTATCTATTTTAACCTCCCCCTGTTGGTATATCGTCCCCGTGTTGCTATTCCAACGTTTACAGGTGGTTCCTGTTCTTTTGGCCTTATGTACATATCTACAAATTATAATAATAATTTCATCTTCCAGTACGAAACTAAAAACGGATGGAAGATCGAGCCATATTTCATCTTTGAAGAGCTCCTTTTGGGTTTTCCAAGAATCGTCGACTCGTTTCTGCACGAGGACGAGGATCTCTGTCCTCAACTTAATGATGTGCTGTATGCAGGTTCTGTACAATTCCTTTTTGAATAGGAAATAAATGTCATTGATGCAATGTATGGGATTTTTTATAGTTGCTATTTCATCGTTCAGGATGATTATCTGTTTGTTTTTTTTGTTGGTGCTTAGGCACCTTAGGACGAAGAAAAACAGAATTGCAATTTTTGTGACTATCATTTTAGTTTCTTCAGAGGTCACTCAGCTGCAATGTTACTGGAAAGTTCTGCAGCGCATGGGTGGTCTTCTCGGTTAGGAAGTAATACAGAGTGGAGAACTCTGTGTGAAGGGGTGGTAAGGGGGTAAAAATAAGAGTCGATAGACACAACGGGGAGGTATAACTGAATACCCATGAGCCTAAAACGGAGGGTTGCGTCTTTTTTTTTTTTTTTTTCACTAGACTTGGGTGAAAAGAGCGTGAAACTTTTGCGCGTTGGGGAAAATCGCGGAGGAACCCCTGGAGCAGGTCAAAGGAGGCGCTAGTTGAGAGAAAACATAGGAGAGAAAGACGTTGTGATGGGGAAAGAAAAAAAATTAAATAAAAACGATGAAGTAAAAAATATTAATTAGGAAAAAAAAAAATGTCGAACGAAAAATAACGACGTGAAAGATTTTCTCCCCAATTCTACCCCCATGTTGCAAACAATTTTATCCATCGGAAAAATCTGCGACAGGGCTATAACACACCGACGGGATTTGCTCTTTATGGACTTAGGAAGAAATTGTCAGAATTGGCCTAAGAAAAGGGGATTTCCTTTTCTTTTCTTTTTTCCTTTTTTTTTTTTTCCCAAAATGTTGCTTCTTTACTCTTTGCTCCAAACCGTTATTTGCAAAAAGGATGAAATTTCACAGAGGGTGTTAAACTCCCCATTTCTCACTTCGAAGGGATGGACTCGTTCAGAACTTTACGGCGAATTTTAAAATTGTGGGAAAATATTTCGTTCCCGATGTTACCAGTAGGGTAGAAGTTTTTCATTTTTTTTTTTTCCCATTTATTCTATATAACTACCCCTTTTGGCGGTGTAAAAATACACTTTCCATTCCTTTCATAAAATTACCTCCTTCAAGGGGAAAGAACATGTAAAAACTGGCTCTCCTGAGTGTGATTAGGTGACATGCTTCTACCTTTTTGCAATGCTTCCCCATTTTAGTGATTGCACGAATTGTTTCCAAATGCGTAACACCATTTGGGGGTTCCTTTTTTTGTTAAATTCATTTGGACATGTTTTATGGAGTACAGATGACGGTGAGGAAGAACGCCGCAAGCTAGGTGGAAGCAAAATTTATTTTTACGCTGACAGTTTAGTCGATTTTTTTTTCCTTTCTTTTCTTTTCGGAGATGTGTTCCTTTTATTCTCCAAGGGGGGGTTGCTTTAACTTGCGGAGCAGTCATAGCGCATTTTATATTTCTTACGATTATGCAGGGGGGGGGAAATGATAAAAAACAAAGAAAACACGAACAATAAAAAGGAGGAAACAAAAGCGAAACAGAAACGAAACCAAAGCGAAACAGAAACGAAACAAAAACCAAACAGAACAGAACAAGAGAAAAAAACGAACTAAACGGAGAGGAAACACATTGTGAGGTGCTTTATTGTGAGTTGCGCGAGAAGGAAGAAGTAAAGCGCAGGTGGTCATGCTGATGGTTCTTCCCCATGGAGCAGATTTATTTTTAAAAGGAGGTAGCAACTAGGCTGGTGGAAAAAATGGGCTAAACGGGCGAAGTTCTAAGATGCACAGAAAAAACACGTTCTACCGAGCAAAATAAGGAAAAGAAAAAAAAAAGAAATAAAGGGAGCCACATAAGGAAGAGGTAAAAAAAATGGAGAGAAATAAAACTATATGCTGCAGGAAGAAAAGGAAAGGGGCTAAACAAATATCAGTTTCTCGCATCACTCAAAGGAGCAACCGTTTTATTTCTCTCACCAACTAATTAGATCAGTGAGAAGAAATGCCCTTTAAATAATGTCGCTTATTTTTTTCATCCCCTTCGAGTTTATGGGTATCTCTATTGTGCGCTAAAGCGGGTGATGGTCTGTTCATTCGTAGTTCTTTTATCTTTCCATTGATTCTGTACGATCAGGTGCCATCTTCAGTTTAGACCCTGTTTTTTTGATGTAAGAAAAAGTGAAGAACAAAGGATTCACCCATCTGGTTGCATCTAATGTGAATTCTCGCCGTCATGTACAAAAGGGGCAGAATCCATTACAGGTTAAAATAACAAAAAGGACGTTGAAAGAAGTGCCTCAGTTTTACTGCCAGCATTTTAAGAGTTGCCGTTTTTTTTACCGCCCCTGTTAATGTTATCGGAAGGAAGAGCCCCACTTTTTTGGTGGCAACCCACGCCTAGGATAAACGTAAAGCCGTAAAGAATAGGTAAAAGAAAAGAACTAAAAAAACAGCAAATAAAGTAATGGATAAAAACATACCAGCAATGCTAATAGCAGCGCGATGGCGAAGAGGTGATCGAAAAAGTAACGCAACCAGCCCGCGGACATAACCGCGTAACTCGCTTAGGAGAAGATAACGACATCCACCTGAGGATCAAATCGTTCAGGTAAAATCTAAATAGAGAAAAAAAATCTGCATCCTCATCCGCATTCAAATGCGTAGTTATTATACATATGTACGTATATGCACTACGCGCCGCTTCCTTTTGGACTCTTAATTAATGCAGAAGTGAAAAAAGTGAAGGCACCAAAAGAAGAGAGGAAGAGTCGACTCGGTTTCTTTATATAACTGGAGAAAAAAGTCGAGGTATATTTTTCTTTTTTATTCTTTTTTTTTCTATTAATAAAATAATTATTTCTCCGAAGCAGGACAGATATCAGTAAAATTCCTTTTTCTCTAAGAGCACATAATTTTTATGAATCCATCTCTATGCCTACATAAAAGTATTTCCAAAACTGTGAAGCCAAGTTGAACAGAAAAAAAGAGACATTTTTCAAAATTGAGTGACATGCCAATAGATCAGTCTCGCAGCATATATTTTTTTGGCAGCTTTTTTTTTGGACATGTCGTTTGAGAAAAAGATAAGTAGGCAATCATTAGGGCATAAGTACCATATATGGAGGCGGCTCTGTAGGCACAGTTTTTCTCCCTTCAATTTTAAAATTAAAAAATTTTTTTTTTTTTTTTTGTTACGCGCATAAGTTGCAAACAGGGTGAGATCCACAGACTGACACGGTTGCATTTTTTTCTTTTGTCACTTTCGCTGATGCTAAGATAGGAAGGGAGGTGCAGCAGATACATAGAGCCTCACAGGGGTTACGTTACCGCAAGTTGGCAGCAAGTTAACGGCAAAATAGGGATCATCTAATAAACGAAAGCGCAACCTACTGCGAAGAGGGAGGCTATATAAAATTGCAGACCATGTCTTACAGTTCTTGCAAGTCTCTACTGGACCCTCCAAAAATATACCAGGGTCAGGGGATGCACGGGAGGAAATTTTCCGATGACGAAATTGAGTCCTATGTAGATAGAGGGGAAGACAGAAGGCGCAACATTCGCAGAGGTGGAGGCGAAAGTAGCAGGGCTTGTAAAAACTTTTTATCTAAAATTTTAACGGTCTCGTTGCTTTCTGATTCGTTGAGCTGCATCGCATGCAAGGTGAGTCCCCCCTAGGAGGAAAGGAGCGAAACGGTACACGTATTTATTCGCACATCTGTGCCGTGCGATTTTCCATATACACGTGTCTGCAACCATTACATGGCGAGTTCTCTTTTTCCTTCCCTCGCAGAGCACAATGAAGAACCCGGGAATCCCCCGGCACCAAATACATGCGTACTGGGACTATTGGGAGGAGAACGCAAGGGGAAGCAGTTACCTACATATGGGGGACCACCTGAATAGTGTGAAAAAGGGAAGTAGAACGGGGGCTTTCTGGGGCGATTCATACATCGACGTGAGAAGCAACGTGAGCAGCAACATGAGCAGCAACGTGAGCAGCAACATGAGCAGCAATGTGAGCAGCAACATGAGCAGCAATGTGAGCAGCAACGTGAGCAGCAACCAAAGCATCTACCTTGGAAGTGAAACCAGCAGCAGTAGTGGAAGCAGCTGCGACGATAACCTATCAGATAGGTCCTCTGTAGATATCGAAATAGGCGAGGAAGTGTTCCAGGACAGCGTCTTGACAGGCTCAAGTTACGATAAGATAAAATTGCTCAAGTATGACAAAATAATAGAGGACGATGAAGTTCCACTCGATTGCGAAGCCTCAGATTTTACTGCAGACATGACAGGAGAGGACATAATTGAAAGTATTAACAATTTAGATGACCCGGTGCCATTCAGGGATATGTTTATTTTGTATAATTCTTTTCATCAAAATGAAAGAAAGAAATTTGAAAGAATGCAAAACTCTTTAAAAGAGAAATTTGAAAAAGTGGCCAGAAAACAACTTCTAGAGGAGGGCTATAAAAAGGAGGTATGGACTTCTGTCTCTTTATACTTGATTCAGGAATTGTTAAAAAAGGATTTTGTAGATTTTAAATCTTTATATCAATTGATGAACATGGAAGAATGCACTCTTGATGAGTATCTACACTTCCTAAGAACAAAGAAGTCCTCTTGGAAATCCTTTTTGCGCTATATGGAGGCCATAGGCAGCTACCTTATATATTACTATGTGACTAGGGCACCCTGCATGAAGAAGGATTAACCAATCATTTGATCGTGAACGGATTAGGTTACACACTTTGCGGGGGGGACTGTTAAGAGGACTTTTCCCCTCCTGTGGAGAAGAAAAACGGGGGAGTAGACAAAAGTCAGCTCTGAGTTGAGATGCATGTCGTGTCACCACATCACAACAGTTGGTTATGTTCTACTATATTTTATCTTACCATTTTTTTTTTTGTTTACTTCTTTATGGGAAGAGGACATACATGATTGTGCATTGAAACTTCTCATAGAGAATTGAATTTGGTGCTGCTTCTAGAAATTCAGAAAATGCATGCACTTAAGAATTAGGTTTGTTTTCCCTTCTCAGTAAATTGTTCCTATGGTAGAAAAATTGAACGTATAATTTTTTTCTTATTGAGACTGCTATTTGTGAAAGAGCCTTTTTAATCAATTGAAAATAATAATTTGGTGAGTTAAAAAATCTCACGTGGAAGAGATGCTTTTTCACCTGTTGTGTTTCCCGACAAGAAGGAATTGCCCCATTTTGAACACGGCAGAAGCAAAATTATTCGCCGTCTAGGCAGTCAGCAAGAGAAGATGTATTCCCGATTGCTCATAAAAGGATGGAGATGGGATAGTCCCCCCTTTTTCAGTAGCCCCTTAAATTGTATATACTTTTGCGCGTCCCAAACATGTAAAGAAAAAACAGATATATATAAAAAAAAAAAGAAATTACAACAGAATGGGAAGTTAAAATAAGCAGATTTGCTTCCATTTATGATAAAGAGGCTTCTAAACGAATTTTTGAACCCTTTTCCGTGTTGTCTCCATTTTGGGATCGGGAATGCGCCGAAAGAATGGGGTGGCAATGGGGCTTCTCTTACGTGGCCATGTAGCCCCGTTGGGTTAAATGCTCTTTTCGTAACATGCTGATCATGTGATGTGCATAATAACATTTTACAAACTGGACTTGAGTAGGTGTGAACATACCGCTTCGCACATTTATGTGAAGAGTTCGCACTTGGTGTAGGGGTAAAAAACAATGCATTTAGCATTTAGCGAGGTTTTCCTTCGCTGTTCGTCTACTTGGGGGAGGTTTATTTGTGCATGGTGGTGTTAAAAGGATTTCGCTAAGGGTAGGTTATTTTATTATTATTATTTTTTTTATTTTAGTATTTCTTTATTTTATTTTTCTTTCTTTTATCTTTTTTTTTTTCTCGAATTGTCTTCCCCGGGAGAAGGTGCACCATCCCCCTGCTAGACCACGTGTAGAGAGAACAGGTGCAGGGAAAGGCTCGATCTGAAGAAGGTGAGGTATTTTAGACATAGGGCATACGGGAGAAGAAGCCACGTGATGTTTTTTTGAAACACTTACGTTTGTTATCTCGTAATAATGGCTATATGCTGCAAACTTGTGTTAAAAGGACAGCGCGTAAAAGGGTGTGCCTTATACGCCTACGATTTGGAGAAATGGAGCACATATGGAGGGAGGAACTGACGGCTTCATGTCTTATTTTTTTTTTTAAGGGCGCATGAGGCGTAGGTACTAATTGGATTAAACAAGAGTCCATATAGGGTGTGTACATAATGTACATTACACAAAGTTTCACACGTCTGATATGATCGCGTGTTGGCCGCTTTTCACATTTGAGGAGCCGATAGCCAAATGTCACGAGGATACATATTTCCATAGGGCCGCGCGTTTTAACTTATTATAAATTAAAGGACTACATGCCGCATCAGCATTGTGTTCTTTTAAAATTCCTACTTAAACATCTGGGGAAGTAAAGAAAGGAGGCTTTGAACATTTTATGTACGGATCTAAAGGGCGAAGGGTGTGACGGCCCCATAACATAAGCAATATAGAAATAAAAAAAAAGAAAAAAAAAAAAGGAAAATTTATATGGTAATCAGAGGGAACTTTAATAAAGGCTATTTTGTACATACATATATACAGGGACACACACATATGCGTATGTGCAAATACGGATAAGAAAAAGATATATACATATATATTATTATATATATACATGCATTTTCAGAGACAAAAAAAGGGGGAACTGCATACTGTATATGTGTATAAACATATATATATGAGCATTATATATTCTTGGGGGGGAGGGAAAGGAGTTTCAAACAATAATCAAACATTTTATGTAGGAAAAAATAAAGGTACAAAAAACAAACTCTTTTTCTTAAACACAAATATATGTAAAATATATGCAATTAAAAAAGGAACGGAGAGATTAATAACGTTGTTTTGAGAAATGTATGTGCAATAATGATGGTACATAGGTAAATTATTTTGAAATTTTTTTTTTTTTTTTTTTGGAAAAAAACTTTCCTTTTTAGAGAGTCCAAAAAAAAAAAAAAAAAAAATTAGCATTCTTGTTACATGGCCTGGTGTCCATTTTTGCTACCTTCCTGTTGACGCGAGGGTGTTCCATCCCAATTAGGAAATTACGAAGGCACGTGAAAGCGAGTCTCATTACTGTCGCCGTGGCCACCGATTCTTGTGCTGGTGCTGGGGTTCCCCTTTTTGTGTAGATTTAGTGGTGGCTGCGGTATCTTCCCTTTGATTTTATCTTATTCCTCTCCTTGACCCACACGAACCACTGCTTTTCAGTGATCCATCTGTTGATAAAGGAATCCATCCACAAATTGAAGAGGACGTGTTTGTCGTTCTTCCATTTGCACCATCTGTCGGTGCGGTTTCCTCTGATGTATTGTTCTTTCATCATAACCCAACTATTCCACTGGACCATTTCCTTGTTCAATCTCTCCCTCCAGTTGAGCCAGTTGGTTCTGTCATGCATATTTGGAAATTTGGCCCAGGACTCTTCCCACTTGGACCAGTATTCGTCTTCTTCACATTTCCAGTCCGTCATAATCCATGCAACAATTTTCTGGTCCTTCCATTTGAGCCATTCTTTAACACTCCATACGTCTAAATAGGATTCATTATTGGTAATCCAGTTTTTCCAATCCTTCTCCATTAAGTCTTTTCCTTCTGTTTTCATCCATTCTTTCCATTCGTATTCGTCTAGGGTTAGGGATCTCTTCAATATGTCTGACTTGACATCCTCATCTAAGGACTCATGGTAGTGCATCCATTTGTTGTCCATAAATTGTAGAAATTCGTCCCACTCTTTTTCCTTAGCAGTTAGCCATTTTTCTTTTTCCTTTTCAATTGTGTCGTTGAATTCTACCCACTCTTCTTCCAATCTGCGCAACCAGTTTGTCCATTCGTTGTCTTTCCACTCTTCTGTTTTCTCTAGTAACCTTGGGTGATACTCGATTGAAAGTGGAGCGTTAAATTGTAGGCTGTTTGTATTGGGTGGTGGATGTGAAATGTTGTTAAAGATAACAGAGGATGAAGAGAATAGGTACATTATTGCAGATATTATAGAGGAGAAGAAGCTGCTGTTTTGGTTAATGGTGTTTGGTGGCTTTGGTTCTGAGCCTCTGTTTCTTCTCATTAGCTGTCGTCCAGGTGGATTCTGTGGCCCAGTGCCCATATGGTTAGGCATATTTCCATAAGGGTGTTGAGGGGAAAAGGGAGCGGAAGAAGCAGAGCCGGGGTGTGGGTATGGATAACCATAGTTCATCTGACCATTATAGGTATTTGGAGGTCCATAATTGGAAGTTCCAACGAGGGAATATGTAGAGGAACCATCCAGTGGAGTGTAGGTTGGAGTTTGGGTAGGAGTGAAGGTTTGTCGACTGGGCTCTCCATTATGTATGGGGGTATCGGAGGGGAAGGGACTGGAGGGTTGTCCAAAGTTCGGTTGCGTAAAGTTGGGTGGTGATGATGATGGTGCTGGTTGTTGTTGTGGTGGCGGTGTTGAGTAGATACCAATTGGGGCAGTTGTTGATGTGCTCGGCACGTAATCATACAGTTGTTTATAGTATGCGTCCATTGTGTTTGGGGGTGCAATGTGCTTAGAGGGGGAAGGGGTGGAAGTTGTCGTGAATGTGTCTTGATCGTGGAAAGAGGGCACCTCTTCCATACTCTGTATGTATTCGTATTGATATACAAATGATGATTGCCGATGTGTCTTCTACAATTCTGTGCTGAGCTTATCTGACCCGCATATATTGATATGATAACTTATCGTGGGGACGAAAATAAGAGTATATAAAGGCTGTTTGCGTTATTGCGACGTTGTGGGGAGCGTCGGTTTAGACTTGGAAGGGAGGCTGCTACTCGTATTTATGATTCCTTCGTTTCTTCAAAAAAGTGTCGTAATGAAAAAGGAAAACAAACAGAATAGAAATTAAGAAGTGACTGATTTACAGCTTCCTTTACCTTAGGAGTGATTAATTTTATGGTAATACTCTTTCTGTCACTATTCCTTTCAAAGCTGGGAAACTTCATATCAATACGTTATGCTCTATGCTTATGCTTGGATATGTATGTTAAGAAGCTCGTGTTGGGAATAATACTACTTGAATTCATAAGATGGTGAAAATTCATTTTTCTTCAGCGTCTGGAGCGGGGTTAAGCGCATATTGTACATGCTGTATAAATGGTACCTAAATAAATACAGCGCTACAAAAAATTTGTAGAAATATTTTCTTGGCTTGGTAAAATTAACATAATTAGATAAATTGAAAAAGGTTATTAAACTTCACGTATATATAATTATGTAGTAATTGCAGATATATGCAGAATTCAAAAGGTGGAAAAAAAGTTACTTTCCTCTAATCTCTTTCTAGAAAAAATATAAATTCCCTTTTTTTCTTTTTGATAGATTTTACATAAGTTTAATAATAAATAAAAAAGAAATATAAAATTAAGGCAAAATAAAAACCAATATTAATATGCTGTTAGCATTGCATTTTTCGTTATTTACTTTAAACGATTTTCATTTCGTAAAAGAAATTAAAAAACTTTCATTTAATAAAAAAAATAAGAAAAGGAAGAAATTGAATTTTATTTTACGTAGAAATAAAATACATTGCAGACAAACTGCGTATTTTTTTTCCATGTTCACTTTTTCGAAGAAGGAAAAAAAAAGAAAAGGAAGAAGCGGAATAGCGGGGATGATTTTTCATTGCTCTTTTCGCATGGTATCGCGTTTTTTGTATTTTTTATTATTCCACTGGAGAGGAGGAGAAGAAGAGGCGGTACTTATTATTACCTATATGTCAAAATATATATATCTATAATAAAATCTACGTGAATAATCAAAATTGTAAATTGCAAAAAAGAAGAAAAAAAAAAAAAAGAGTACATTTATTTTACATGTCATGAAAATAATTTGATGTATAGATAATATTTATAGCTAATTTTTCTTTTCTTCTGCTAATTGTGCGATAAGGAGAATCTTTTTTAAATAATTATTTATATTTTATTTTTTTTTGCATTGAAAATTTATTCATTTAAATTTAACAAATGGTTTAACAGGAAAAAGGAGGGCGTATAAAATAAAAAAATCGACTCAGAAATGGCTGGCCGTATTTTATTTAGCTCTATTCCCCTTTCTTCCTTCCTGTACCATCTTAGAAGATGCATTTTATTATTTTTTACATTTTTCAAATTTCGGCATTTTATAGATTTCAGATTAGCATAGCAGTGAAGTAGGCCATCTCTCCTTTTACCACTCTGAGACGGATAAATTGCGATGTAACACTATCTTTTATCCACGCTTGGAAAAGTGTCATGCCCTAAGGAAGTGCGCCTTGTATATCCATCAATAAATTTTGACAAAACAGGGCACATATATCATCCAGGCAGCAGCAGTAATACTTCTAGTGCTACCTAAAGCCTAGAGTGACTGCAATGAGTAACATACGGTTGACTCGCATAATGGCGCCCTTCTCACATCTTGCGAATGTATATAACAATATATACTCACTGATTTATTTATACTTAATATGCAAAAAAAAAAAAAAA